ACAAAAATTTCAACAGCTGGGCATCATTAGCCTGAAAACATGGAACAGGGAAGATGATGATGGAGACACGTGGGTGACCATATGCTGATAGGTCTATGTCCACCCAGAAGTTAGAGCACGTTCACAGTTATTAATATATAGCTAGTAAGAACTGAATTATGCTGGAAACATTTTTTCAGACTGGTGGACATATGTGACAAAACGAGAAGGAGAATACAAGACGGGTTAAATTTATCCATTCTGAGCTGTATTCTTACTTTTTAAAAAAGATTTATTCACGCATTCAAGAACCAGGTACTGGCCACATGTGAGGGAGGGTGAGAGGATTCACCAGAGACAGAGCAGGGCACAGAACAGGCAGACTGACTGAAATACACTGTGAAGGGGAACAGCCAGCGAGACAGGAGAGGTCTTCTGCGCCATGTGGGTATCTTCCTGGCCAGGCATGATCGAACCTGCACTGCAGAGGCTGGGGACAGCTTCACAGCGCTGCGCTTAACCACCTGTGCCACTGGGGAGGCCCTATAGTATTTTTTTTTTCCTATAGTCTTATTTTTAAGGCGATGTTACTTGGATTATAAATCATGCTAATCTACCTTAGCATAACCACCTTATTTCTGGTTTCTGCTATAGCAAGGTGGTATAAGCAGTGCATGTAGTTATCTGGGCAGTGAAGGGAAGTCCTGTAATAGAAGGGAGCAGTGAGACAAAGGAAAGGCAACCCCAAATAGAGTGTTATCCAGTCAGCTACAACTGTAAGTGCAGGGGCTGAACCTTGTGAGAAAGAGGCATATACCCTTCTGCAGAGCTTCCTCAGGTATGTGAACGCAGATGTGTGGCCTGAGGGGATGGGCCCCTGAGAATGGCCTTGAGAGTATTTTTTTTTTTTTTTCCTCTTTCCTTGGCAGAATGTCACCAGTCATTGATGTTGATTCCTCCCTTAACTTTCCAACAACTGAATCCAAATGTCAGTCTGGGACACTGACAATCTAGCTAGAGGTCAGGTCAGTTGGCAACACTAGTAACAACATCAGAAAGGGCAGGTGCTGCTGAGTGAAGAGGCAAATTCCAACAAAGACTTCCAAGTTCTTACATTCCTAATTCATTTCTTCCCTGACACCTTTTGGTAAGCCAACTCCACTTAAGTAGGAAAAAGAATTGCTAGCTGCTGTTTGAACATGATCTGCTTAACTCTTAGCAACTGCTTTAGAAACTTCTTGCTGCTCCTGCTTCCTGAAGTACCTCCTGAAGGTTGACCAAAGTTGACAGTAACTGCTGGAGAAACATTTAATTACTCATGGGTTTGGAGCCAGTGTGGGAACTCAAGATGTTGGGATGTGCCTTCAAATACATATAAACTATAATTCTTTTTGGAAAGAAAACATTTTGAAAGGGATAGAGGAAGCAGGACGAATTATGAAATTAAAATAGTAATATGGTAACATCTCAAAAATTTTTAGAAACTCTAAACTTGCAATACTGTTTGAGAAATAAATGCACATTTGTTTAGCTTGCTTGCTGTAAAACCTTGAACAGACACAAAATAAGACCAATGGCATACAAGGCCACTGTTAGAAAAACTGAATGTCTCACCTTCTGTGGCAGTTTCCTCCTGACCTTGCTGGTGGCCCTGCCAACCACAGACATCACAATCCAAAGACCAAACATTTGAACATTTGTTAAATAATTACTATGGGTTAGAAACTTATACTGACTCTCATTTACTTCAGACTTGACAGCCATTAAGACAACCCTATGAGGGCCTCCCCGGTGGTGCAGCGGTCGAGCGCTGGGTTGCGAGGCTGCCCGCAGCCTCTGCAGCGCCGGTTCGATCCCCGGCTGCTCCCCGGCCACCGGAGGAGGGTCCCACATGGTGCGCGGACCTCTCCTGCCGCCCACTGCTCCCCTCAGCAGTGTACTTCATCAGTCTGCCTGCTCTGCTCCCCGCTCTGGCTCTGGTGAATTCTCTCACCCTCCCGCACTTCTGACTACCCAGTGCTTGTATAAATAAATAATCTTTAAAAAAAAAAAAAAGACAACCCTATGAGATGGGCTTTGTTTTCCATATCCAGATGAAGTGATTCAGGCTTGGAGAACATAGTCACTTACAGACCTCCATATGGCTCATCAAATCTGGATTCAAACCTAAGCCTCACACCAGATGACGGATCTTACCACCCTTCCGTTGCTCCCAAAGTGAGCCCCAGCTTCTAGCCCCTCCCTTTAGTCTTCTGCGAGGTATCAGACATCTAACAATGCAAATGATTGTCAGCTTTTATATTTTACTGCATTTTGTTAAACAGCAATTTAAAATTTCTTTTGAACTGTACCTAATTACTAAAATTACATTTACCCTCTAAATTTATTTTTGAAGATTTACTTATGCATACACGAATTGGGGTGCAAGCCAGAGGTGCAGGGGGTGAGAGGATGCACCAAAAAGAGTGGGGAGCAGAAAAGGCAGATCTACAGAAATACACTGCTGCTGAGTGGGGCAGCAGGCAAGACAGGAGAGGTATGCTGTGCCATGTGGGTTCCTCTCTGGCCGGTTACTGAATTAGTGCTGCAGTGGCTGGCGATAGCTTGATAGCGTTTTTGTGTGTTTTTTTTTTTAAAGATTTATTTATGTATGCATACAAGAACTGGGGTACAGGCCAGAGGTGCAGGGGCTGAGAGGATTCACCAGAGACAGAGTGGGGAACAGAACAGGCAGACTGACTGAAATACACTGCTGAGAGCAGTGGGTGAGACAGAGGAGGTCTACTGCACCATGTGGGTAGCTCCCTGGCCAACCATGTTGCAGAGGCTGCAGATAGCTTCATAGTGCTGTGCTTAACCCCTTGCGCCACAAGGGAAACCCAGATAGCACTGTCTTTAACCCCTGTACCACCAGTGAGGCCCTTGACCTCTAAAGTTATAATCAAAGCTACCAACACAAAAACCCAAGTAAACCTGAAGTTACCAAAGAAATTGTTACTAATAAAATATTTTGCTTATAACAAATTTAAAATTGCCACATCTATTCACATGCTGGTCCCTTTCTCTCATTTCTTGCAAGGACTTTAAAATCCCTCCCCCAAAACAGTGAGGTGCTAGTGGATGTCAGAAAATGACAACCTGCTTCGTTACTGAGGTGTGAGTGTTTGTTGAACAAAATCAGGATGGGAAGGCGGCAAGTTCTTGGAAGTAATGTTATTTTTGAAAATTGCTTTCGGTAACCGATCCAGTAGTCATTTCATCATGACCTTTTATATTCTATGTATGCACAAACAGATGGAAATTATTTAACTATCAGCCTACATCAGTTAAACAAAAAAGGAATGTGGAAAATGGGAGAACTTATTGGTGCCTGTTAAATTTAGTATGCAGTGTTACTTAAAAATGCTTTACTATAAACTTTGTGATGTATGTTTGCACGTACAATTTAGCTTTAATCTTTCCCCAGGAGTAGGTTAGGAGTCATTTGAGGACTATGATGCAGGGGGGTAGCTAGGGGAGTACTTTAAATACTATCACCTAAATTTGTACAAGTGTTAACATAAGAGATATAATTTTTCATCAGTGAATAGTGCTTGAAAGGTGATTAGATTTTTAGTGGCAAAATGCATGAAATGAAGTATAAGAATATAGTATATCTTGCAAGCAAATGCCTTTTGATAACAACTCATGTCTAGAATTGTGTTCCTGTGCCATCATCTGCCCAACCTTACATATTCAAGACTATGCTTCCTGACTCAATCAGGTTACCTAATTCTGCCTTCAGAATGTCAGTGCTCCTGTATCCTGGACCTTTCAGTCAAGGTGTCATGGGATTGCTTACAAGTGGAGGTGAAACTTCCCCCAATTTTCTAAAGGTAATGCTTATCAATAAGTGCTTGCTTTTGCTTTGCTATTATATCACCAGGTGGCAAGGTTCCAAATGAGACATACATACTTACAGACGGAACCTATGACTGGTGACTGAATTTACCTAGACAGAGGCCTCCCTGGTGGCACAAGGGGTTAAGCATAGCACTGTGAAGCTATCCACAGCCTCTGCAGCACAAGTTGGATCCCCAGTCAGGGAGCTACCCACATGGCACAGCAGACCTCTCCTGTCTTGCCCACTGCTCCCCTCAGCGGTATATTTCAGTAGATCTGCCTGTTCTGCTCCTCACTGTGTCTCTGGTGAATCCTCTCACTTCCCCTGCCCCCGTACATCTGGCCTATACTCCAGTTCTTAAATGCATAAGTAAATAAATCTTAAAAAAAAAAATTACCTAGACAGTCTTCAATGGTGTGAAAAGGAAATTAAAAGCCCATTCACTTTCATTCTGTATTCCATTTTATTCAAATATGAGGTCTCTGAGCAGTTCCCTTAATATAGTGCCATCTGAAGACATCGCTAAGATCAGTAGGCAAATACTGATTTTCAAGGGCTGGACAGAAAACAATCTAGCCATTGTAAAGGTTAAGGTCAACCTCTCGCAGTGTGGCTCTTGACAAAATAAATTTCATGTCATTTAAAAAATATTTTATTTTTTATTAATTTATGCATACCAGAACTGGGGTGTAGGCCACAGGTGCAGGGGGTGAGAGGATTCACCAGAGACAAAGTAGGGAGCAGAGGGTGAGATAGGAGAGGTCTGCTGCACCATGTGGGTTACCTCCCTGGCCAAGGCTCGAACTTATGCCGCAGTGGCTTGCAATAGCTTGATAGCGCTGAGACTTGAACCCCTGTGCTACCTGGGAGGCCCATATTTTGTCATTTTGAATTAAAACTTGATTACTTAGAAAGCATTCAGTTTGCTAATGAGCACTCAAGTTAAATAACATGAAAGGAAAACCTAGTCAAAATAGAACCATTGCTCTAAACTTTATCCTATTTACCTGTTCAAGTTGGACAACATAAAGGATGCTAGTAACTTCTTTTCACTGGGAATATGCCATTGGGATAAATCAAGAGCTATTTAAAAACTCAAGAATCAATGTGAGTGAAATTACTAATATATGAGAAACCTAAAAGTTAAACTATGTCAAACACATTTTATTTCGTGTTTCATGCTAGGTTGATTTAAACAAATAGAACAACTTTGTTGAACAGATTTTTTTTAATGACTAAGTACATGGACAACTGAGAATAGGGGAAACCCCCAAATTTTAATGTTTTAACAAATGACAGCTATTATTAAAGGTGATATGCTTGGATTTAAAGGAGTCTAGCAAACGAAGAGGCGCTCATTCAACCTTGTAGATTAACCAGTCTCTCTATAAAACATCACATTAGTGACAGAAGTTTACTTTTTCTAATTCTCCACATAAAAAAATTGTGCTCCCCTTTCCTTCAGTATTTATTAAAAGTCTCTAAAATGGTAAAATAAAATTGCATTTTATTAAGAAATGAAAGTGCAAGTTTGTACAGCTAAGCTCAGCCGCAGAAGTGAAGAAGAGGATAGCTGTTGGCTGCCACGAAGAACGAAGACGTTTGTGAAGGCCTCCTGCACAGTGGCCTGTGAGCCAAACACAGTCAACATTCCATCATGTTTTTATTGCTCTTAAACGAGCAAAACCAAATTCTTTTTTTTATTTAAAGAAATATTAAATCTTTATCCCCTCGCCCCATATTTTGTGATCAGGTAAGGCAAAGATAAGCCCCAACATCACTGGGGACAGCAGCAATATACAGACTTCAGAAATAGCCCTGAATCATTGGTAACATTCTCTCATGAAATCATAAGGAATGCATCTAATAAATCAAATTTGCAATGTTGTCACATTTTTCTAATTGATTTGATTAGTTTACCTGGAAAAACTTTATAAATACATTATTTAAGAGGACAGTAAATTATTTTCTTGCTCTGAAAAAATAATGCTTTTGTTTTTCACATTTTAAAACTGCTTAGTATGCTTTTGCAAAAGGAGATGCAAGAAGAATGTGACAGCTGGGTTTGCAGAACATTCATGTACAAGTTGCATTTATAAGAACCTGGTAATCTGCCTATAATTTGCCTCTACAAATAGAGCTCTTTGCAATAATAAACAGGCTTAATTTAAACATTCCCCCTCCCAATTTACTCTACTTGGAGAGTAAAGAGGTACTTATTTTTCAAGTATTACATTGCAAAAGGTAATTTTTTGTGCCAATTTTACATGTTAGTTTGTAAAGACCAAAATATCTGTATGAAAAAATCATGCCTACTCAGCACATTTCCTTTATAGCCAAATGCTCTCATCTTTTAGAGAATGCAGAAAAATATTGATTTGCTAAGAAGGAGCACACTGGAAAAAGCCCATTTTAAAGTACTGAAGAATAAGGAGCATTTCTTTCTCTATTGATGAAAATTATTAGAAAAGTTATCCAGTTTGTTGTCTTTAGCTGGTTTTAATAAAGTCTTTTCAAAATGATGGTCAAGAAATCTTTAGAAAACTGGAGGAGGGGGGAAATGCTCCTTTATAGCATGGAACGAATCCCATTAATTGTAGAAATTCTTATTAAATTTCTGCTTTGGTTCTTCAGAAGAAATTCTCATATAACTTCTATATTAGGAAACAGAAAAGAGAACAAATTAGTACGACTTTATATAAAATCTTACATTTCTAAAACTTCACTGTGCTTTTATGTACACTGTCATACAAGAAAAGGAATTTTATCAGACTATGGTCTATATTGACGTGAATTCTACTAATAGGAAAATGCATGTTCTGTTCTTTAACATAGGCTCTGCTAAATTGTATGCAATGACTATATTTTCTTTGAGGTTAGGGACTTACATTCATTTGTCTTATACCCTCGGTATCTGATGCTTCAAGCTCCAAACATATGCTGGAGATTATTTAAATAAGGGATCAGGAAAAAGAATAACAATAAGAAAGTGAAAATCAAAATCAACAAAAAACTATGAACCAGAGACACTTTTTGGGGGCCGGGGGCCGGGAGGGGAGGGATTGGGGTCAGAATGGGGCATGTGCAGTTGTATGGGGGAATATAAAAATAAAATTTATTATTTAATAAAAAAAAAAATATTGATAAACAGTCAAGACCCCAAAAGATCAGTTACCATTCAATATCACAGGTACTGGAGTATATTGTATGAAAGGGTGAGGACACTGAAAATGGAATGACAATAAATCAAAAGGTAGTTTTAACGACTGGCAAATGAAGCAGAAGGTCATCTGGGGACTCAGTCTGTGACATGACATGATGTAGGAAGTTGCACCAGGAGTGTTTCCAACAATGTACAAGTAATCAGATTGCTCCCAAAAGTTTAAGAATAAGGATGTCAGACCTGGGAGGACCTTGACAGCTTTCATTTGCTATCTAGGAAAGGAGAGTTCACTAAAGTTGAAGTTATATTCCCAAGGTGAGACTAGAGGAACTTTCTTGGATGAGGGTTTAACAGTGGCCTTTTCAACCAATTAAAGTGGAAAACTTTTGGTACAAGTTCATAGACGGAATTTAAAATAACAAAACAGGATGAGCACAAATAACTCTTTACTGACTCCATTTAAACATGCAGAATTTAGCTAGCTTTTTTCAGAAGGGTATAGAAAGGTGCTGGTTAATACATGAAAGATGGTCCTCAGGAGACAATTTAACAGAATACAAAGAGGTTTGAAGCTGAGATTATCCCATTTATTCCAGGCCAATGGGATGGTGCTGTTGAACTGCCAGGCACATGTAATTGGTAATTTTTGCTGTCGCTCCTTATTTCCCTGGGTCCTGTAAAACTATTATTAATTTGGCACAGAGACTTCAGGGCAAGTGTGAATCCCAGAGAGGGTATAAGAAAATCACTGGCTGGGGCCTCCCCTGGTGGCGCAGGCGGCTGAGCACTGCGCTGTGAAGCTGTCCGCAGCCTCTGCAGCGCCAGTTTGATCCCGGCCGGCTGGCGAGGGGCCCACATGGCACAGCAGAACTCTCCTGTCACGCCCGCTGCTCCCCTCAGCAGTGTGTTTTGTCAGTTTGCCTGTTCTGTTCCCCGCTCTGTCTCTGGTGAATCCTCTCACCCTCCCGTACATCTGGCCTGTACCCTGGTTCTTGTATAAATAAATCTTTAAAAAAAAAAAAAAAGAATCACTGGCTGATCAACAACGGCTACAAGGGATGATGGGCTCAGTAAGCTCTAAATTCAGTGCACTTGTCTCAGGATCTAATATTTCATTTTTTTTTTTAAAGATTTTTTTTTTTTTTTATACCAGAACCAGGGTACAGACCAGTTTGTGGGAGGGTGAGAGGATTCACCAGAGACAGATTGGGGATCAGAAGAGGCAGACTGACTGAAATACACTGCTGAGGGGAGTTGAGGGTAGCAGTGGGCGAGACAGGAGAGGTCTGTCCCATGTGGGTATCTCCGCGGCTGGTGGGGATTGAACCGGCACTGTCTGCAGCTGCTGACAGCTTCATAGCACTGTGCTAAACTGCCTACGCCACCAGGGAGGCCCTTGTCTCACGATCTAAATCATAACTATCTATCATATTACATTTAGAAAGGACAATAATGCATTATCCAGGTTGTCTCATGTTACTCAAGAGAAACATGATGAAAGAATATGGGGGCAATCTTCATATACTGGAAGAGCTGAGATAAATGGTGGGAAAAAAATCTAGCAAATCTTTTCTCCAGTTGGCAAAACTAGGCCCAATAGTGCTAAAGTTAGGGGAAGGCAGTAAACATTTGTCTTCGTATGAAGGGTGTTCTGACAGGGAGTGCAGTTGGGCAATGAGTGCTGCTTCAGGAGGTCAGAGTGATGGACACCCAATAATTGTTGCAGACTGGATTTCTATACTCAGTGGGAGAAGATGCCCAGTCCAACACAAAGTTCAATTTCTATGATCCGTGCACAGTCTTTTCCATGTGGCTCATCTGGCTCCTAGATGGACAAAGTGTGTGTCAGTCACAGTGCAGGTGCATTCTCCCTTGGGTGCCATGCATTTCTGATGATTACTGAAGATGGTTTGAGACAAGCTTACCTGCTGTCTGTTGGGTCTGCACACCATCTACTTGAGGCAGTGGCCCAAGTGTTCCTTCATCTTCAAAGGCCAAAATTGGATTCAAAGGAATTTCTGGGTTCTCACTATTGGTGACATCTAATCTGGATGGTTTAGAGCCAATGGGTAAGTTTATAATTTCTTCAAAATTTTCATTCTGATTAGATACTCCATTTTCATTTGGTTGTTTTTCTAAATTGGGACTACTGGGGAATTAAAAAAAATCAAAATTAAAATGAGTTAGTATTAAAACTAAAAACCACATTTTTAGGATAAGAACACTTTCATAATACTTCTACAATGTTACAATCAAAATGTTGGGTTGACTGACCACATCTTTACTAATAAAAATGGTGAATTATGATACATTTATTTTTTTGAAAAATCTTTTTGTTTTTCTATAAAGTTTATCAAATAGATCAATTCATCAACAGATCATTCTCATTATCAATAGTTCCACACATTAATCAATTTCTACTCCAGGCATTTTCACATTCCCTTGTCTGATAAAAGTAGATACTATTAGAACCTTCACTTCAAAGATCATGGGATTATAAAATTTGGGGAGTGAAAGGAATGATTTGCAAAGTCACACAAATACTGACAATCCACACTAAACATAATGCCTTTGGATCTCTTGTGTTTTTCTCACAATGCTATTTGTATGTTCCCTGGCTATTCAACTATTCATGGATGTCTCTGGGTCACTAAAATACATGCATAATTTTATAGGTAAAATGTCCAAAACCAACCTTCTCATATTTGTCACTTAAATCTGCCTGTGACCCCATCTTCATTCTCATTAATTCATGCTTATCAGTTTACCATCTTGGATTTATTTATTTTTTTAAGATTTACTTATTTATGCATAGAAGAACTGGAGTTTAGACCAGAGGTGTGAAGATGAGAAGATTCAAGAGACAGATGGGAAGCAGAATAGGCAATCTACTGAAACACTGCTGAGGGGAGCAGCGGGCAAGACAGGAGAGGTCTGCCGTGCCATATTAGCTCCCTGGCTGGGACTGACCTCAGGCCACAACAGTGATAGCACTGAGACTTAACCGCTACAACACCAGGGAGGCCCTTGGATTTATTTTTGCGGTACACTTAATTGGACATCAAATCCTTAATTTTCTACCTGTAGTTTCTCTGACATTTTTCACTCTCTTCATAAGCTCCGTAACTAAATTGGCAGCACTATATGCTCATTATTATGTTTTATAGTGTAGCAAAAACAATGCCTGGGCATCAAAAAAGAGCAAGATTAATTTTATTGTTTATTGGATTGTGGCAGTAAAATGTAATTTGTTAGCTGCATAATTTGTTCGTGTTCAACTCATGTATTAAAAATAACCCTAGTGAAAGATCCTAAAGTTAAAATTTCCAAATGGCAAATAAAAAAAAAAAGACTAAAAAGTAAAAATTGGTAAGGTTTTTACTCCTAATACATATTGATCATAACTTGAATACTTAGTTATGGAAAGAAACAGGTCAGAGATTAGAAAATCAGGTCTTCAGTGCCAGGAATGCAAATTTCTGGAAATTTGGCTAACCAGTGTCTTTTTCCATCTCCTTCCCTAATGGTAAATTAAAGTGAACGTGATGTTTCTACTGCTTTTTGGTTTTTTTGAAGAGTCTTTATGTCCACTCCCCCCTTCCAGGAAATAGTTTACTTTCCCTCATCAATGAAAAGTGTTGTGGAACACATTCTAAAGCATTTCTGATTTCAATATATATATTTTTAAAGGTTTATTTATGTATATAAGAACTGGGGTACAGGCCAGAGGTAGGGGGCGTGAGAGGATTCACCAGAGACAGGAGTAGGGAACAGAATAGGCAGATTGACCGAAATACACTGCTGAAGGGAGCAGCGGGCGAGACAGAAGAGGTCTGCTGCATCATGTGGGTAGCTCCCTGGTCAGGTTGTGTCTTAACCCTTTGTGCCACGAGGGAGTTCAATATTTTGAGTTCAATATTTTGGTACATTTTTGTTAATTGTATTTTCTCTCCTAGGGAAAAAAAGGGTGTCTGTTCCAAGAGCTTCACTGCTCACGATACCCTGAAAATACCATTTGTAAACGTGCTAAAAAACAACATAAATATATGATTCACACTCAGACTATGATGATGCTTTCTGCTCCTTCACCAAGGAGGGGAGCGGAGGCCTGGCCCCGAGCAGTCTGATGAGCCTGCAGGCGTGTGATGCCTGACACCTGCCGTGCTCAGGGCTGGGGCTGCCACACCCAACCTCCTGTTCTTTCCAGCACCAATGAGCTTTCTGTAACCATGGAAACAGTTTGAGTTATCATTCCACAGGAATTTTAAATAAAAGTTTTGGCAAAAGATGAAGAGGTGGAATGCATCTCCCTGGAACTTGCTTTCTTCGTTCCTCTCAATTCCCATCACTTTCCAGGTCTGCACATGCCAACAAGTCCTCATGGCAATGCCAATCCCAGACTTGAGTCAATAGCTGATTTCACTTCCCCTCCCACTTGACCACCCCACCCATTCTTATTTGTTAACAATTAGAATGTGCTACAGGTTTTAGATAACCAATTATTAAATATCAGAGGATATAAGGACCAGCAAACATTGTAAGACTGAAATGGATGCTAAAGAGACATTGCAGGAGCAAAGAGTTTTGCTTTCTGGTTGGTGCTTGCTCAGCGGCACCGACAGTACAGCCATGGCATCTCATGTCCACCTTCTGCCATGCAAGAGACTTTCTCAACATGAAGGGCTTCTCCAGTGCCTGACTCTTGCAGCTTCCCTCAGCACCCTGTCAGTGCAGACTTCGGGTAGAATGCCCCTGGTGAGGTACCTCCTGGGGCACAGATTTCCCAGGCATTTTAAAGGGTAGGTTTCTGGGAAAGCTCAACCAGTAAGAAAGCATAGCAACTTCTCTGTCATCCAGCAAGGCCCAGCCATCCTATCTTCTACAGGGTTTCAACTGCAGCTGGGAGATGGGCTCTTCCTTGGATATAGTCCAGTGTGGCTGCTTCTTCTAGGTCTTCTCTTTCTGCAGTCTTCAGAATTCTCTTTATTCTTAAGAATCAATCTTTTGATACTCCAATTCCACTAACAGTTACTTATTTTTTTTAAGATTTATTTATTCATTTTACACAAAAACCAGGGTAAAGGCCAGATGCACAGGAGGGTGAGAGGATTCACCAGAGACAGAGCAGGGAGCAGAACAGGCAGAATGACGAAATACACTGCTGAGGGAAACAGCGGGGAAGACAGGAGAGGTCTACCGCACCATGTGGGACCCTCGCTGGCTGGCCGGGATCGAACTGGCGCTGCAGTGGACAGCTTCATAGCATGGTGCTCAACTGCCTGCACCATGAGAGGCCCAGTTACTTATTCTTTATCTCAAATTTCCTGTCTGAGGTTTTTCTCAGAAAGGGAAAATATCTTTGAGTTTTCTATGGTAAGGTTTTAGTGTGACTATTAAGTAAAATTACAGGGAATAATTTGTTAGTTACTAGACTAGCTCTACCAAAAATGTATGAACATAAAGATAATTTTAATATCAGAGTCACAAAATTCCATCAGGCCCAGGAAATTCTGAGGGACTGAAGGGATTAAAGACAGTGTGCTTTGCTTTAGTGCATGTCAGTAAAAAAGGCCCCAGTCATTTCACTCACTTCTCAGTAGTGACATCTGATTGGTGCGAGGTAACCACATGTGGGCTGGCCATGGGTTCTCCATTTCCTGGAGAGTTCGTCATGCCTGGAAGTGCAGATACTGCTGGATACCACAAAAAAGACAGAACAAAAGGTTATTACTACTCTATTATTAAATCCAAACCCCAGGAGCCAGAATGCCTAATTTGGCTGTCCTGGCTCTGCTACGTATGACCTGTATAAGCCTGGGCAAGTTACATACTTTCTGTTTCTCAGTACTTACCTCATGGGCTGCTATGGGTACTAAATGTATTAGCATTTAATATGTTTAATATATGCAAAATACTTAGAACAGCACCCAGCATATTGTAAGGGTTGGAATCATTTGCTATTATTCTTACTTGCATTAAATTGGCTTGGGACAAAAAGTACATATTATTGAAACCATGGCAACTGAAGGAGCTGGCAAAACGTTGCCTTAATCAGCCTGACACATAACATCTTTACTGCAAGATTTGGAGCAAATCTCCATGAAATACCTGTAGTGATAAAATATACTTCTTAACACTCAGTTTAGTCCTAGTTCCCTTAGAATAATAGGGACTTCATAAACACTAGGCCATAGTGATTTGTACCTAATTGTACCACCTCAATGCTCATGTTGGAGTGCAGCTAAAGTTAATATTTGTGATTGACTGAAATTTTTGACAGGGTCACTTCCAATCTTGTAAATCTTCCAATAGGTCAGTTTCATGGAAATCTGTGGCAGTCTAAGGTTTTAACTTGATGTGCAAGAATAACTGACATAATTCCAAGGAAGTATTACTTCACAACCTGGCACAAATTCAGTAAAACAGAGAGAGGTACTAAGAGTCTGTTAACTGAAGCAAATAAGTTGATGAGTTTAAAGCTACCAAAATGTGCACAGCTGGTCACAGGCAGCCTCTGAGAGGATTTCTGGCAGGTTTTTAAACTCACCTGCTTCCTATCCTACAATTCTCTGTGGAGCACAAGATGGATCATTTAGCCCTCAACTAGATATAGTTGAGGAAAACTTACTAGCCAGATAGTCCTCATTTTAGCAGTATTAACTCAAACTGCATTTATTGTGAGTTTTGATACGATGGGTGACAAGTTTCAACTGGTAAAAGTATATTTTAAGAATTGATAATAGCAAGGACAAAGAAAAAAAGAAACAGCAAAGAGCCTGGCCAAGAACACACTAAAAGCCTCACTCCTGAAACACTGCAATTTGCAACCTAAAATGCTCATTATGATGACTCACAACTTCTTAGAGACAACTTGATTAAAAAAAAAAATGTGAAGGGGCAAATAAGTAACCACTAGGGGTGCTAATCTCCAAACAAACATAATTAGGGCATTTTTAAAACAAGCATGAAAATCCCACTATGGAGAACTATGCCAGAGAAATTAGGATAGTCTCTCTTGATATAAAACCAAATCCCCAAATATCAATATTTTACATTTGGAGACCATTTGATTTCACAGAGAATGTTCTCTTATATCAATCATTTCATTTGATATTTCTTTCATTCTTTAAAAAAAAAAACATCGAAACGAGAAAACAACAAAAAACCCCAGCAACACCTCTAACCCTTTTTTTTTTATTTAACCCTTTCTTCTTATACTGATATTGTAGATGAGGCTTAATGACAAGCTATCTGTCAACTACCTGTTTGTAGAACGACCACGTGGGATCACAGAAGGAGCAGAATTATAAGAGGGTGACTTGGACTCTAGCCCTGAGAACTGGGGCCCGTCACTCAATCTGGTCCTTCTGGGGGAAAGATCTGAGCCTATCCTGTTCTCACCGACTTACACCTACACTTCTTCGCACCTGTGTGTGAAAGGGACTGGCACATTAACAGGTCTCCAAAAATGCCTGTTGACTCCAAGAGAAAGCATCTTCTACCAAATAAGGCTGCAGTGCAAATTAAACAAGGCAATGTATGCATGATGTACCTGACATGAGAGGGCATTTAATAAATATTAATTAAATCTGAGTACTACAACATTAAGGCAGATTTTATTTAAATCAAATTTGGCTTAAAATAACCAAGAAATTAATCATCTGTCTTTCCGAAGCCTATGTCATATGGATAGCTTTCTTATAAAATTTCAACAAATTTCTAATTTTAACTCTATTCTGAAGTCAGAACTAAATGTTTAAATCTTTTTTTTTGGAGAATGGATAGAAGCACAAGTTGTGAAAATATTAGGTTTACAATCCTGAAAAGCAAATATAAATACATGCTACTTTAGTGGGTAGTAAATAATAAAATTAAATATTATAAACACAAAGAAAATGCCAATAGTGTGTGTACATAAATATATGTACATATTCTCTATATAAGCATATGTAGTTATATATACAGATATTTAGAAATATATGCACATGACATAAAATGAATTTAAGCTGGGCCTCCCTGGTGGCACAGCAATTGAGCACTGGGTTGAGAAGCTGCCCGAAGCCTCTGCGGTGCCAGTTCGATCCCCGGCTGCTCCCCGGCCACCGGAGGAGGGTCCCACGTGGTGCGCAGACCTCTCCTGCTGCCCGCTGCTCCCCTCAGCAGTGTACTTCCGTCCTTTTGCCTGCTCTGCTCCCCGCTCTGGCTCTGGTGAATTCTCTCACCCTCCCGCACTTTTGACTGTACCCAGTGCTTGTATAAATAAAATCTTTAAAAAAAAAAAAAATGCCCTCTGGCATTTAAAAAAAAAAGAATTTAAGCTATTAAGCAATTCCATTAGAGTATAAAGCGTGAAATGACACCTCCCACGAATACTAGAGAATTTTACCAAATGCAAAAATTCTGTGGACTAGATGATACACACCTAGGCTTCTAAGTGAGTGAAAGTATATCTTTTTGTTTGAAAAATCATTCCATGAATGTCTTGACTTCCAGAGAGTCAATTCAAAAAGTCTATTTGTATGGACTTGAGGTCTTTGAAATAAATACCTGTTCCTCCAGTGAGAGCTTCCTTGGCTATGTCTCCATTTCTCTGATCAACATTTTTCTACCAAAGAAAAAAATAAAAATAACTTTTTAACATTAATATCACAAGTGAATTTTAGAATTCACTAGTCACTTAAGGATAGTTAAAAAATGGCTATTTCAATACCTTGTCCGTAGCTTCTGTTTTCCTGGTTCTTTTCATAATCTCCTCAAGTCGCTACAAGAACAAAAAGAAAGAACTGAACAAAAGGATCAGAAACAGAAAGCAAACTAGCTTGGCCAACCTCACCGACCAAGCAAATAGCAAATTGTTAAAACATGTCATGTGGGGGAAAAATATTACCCACTGTTTTATCTTAATTGGAGTTATTCAAAAAAGCTGAAGCTGGCTTAAGCCACATGTATAGGAAGGAACTCTTTGGTGAAGGTTGGAATATAAAGTGATTTCTTTGGAGGAACATATTACCACTGAAACCTGCTTCAGTGTATCTGAAACAGTGGAACACATTTTGTCTTCTCATGGCAATGAACTGGTCTCTTGATCTTTGCACAGATGCACATCAAGGACAGAATGAGAACAATTAAGAGTGCCAGGCTCCTGCTGTCAGATCCAGCTACCTTCTTTCTCTCCATGCGTGCCTGCTCTTCTCTCATGAAATGCTTCTCCCGTTCCAGCCGGGCCCTCTCTGCTTCTTCCCGAAAACGAGCTGCTTCTTCTTCTTTCTGAAAACAAAAAGTTAATATTTTGCTTCTTAGAAACAGGCTGACTTTGCCTGCTGCCCCAATGTCGCAGGGTACCTCAAGGTGGAGGCCAGATGGCAGATGGAGAACATGAGAAAAAGGAGAGCACACAGAGGCTCAGGAGACTTCGAAGACGCAGGGAACATTTTCCTTTGCTCAACTGAGAGGAACCTCTACCCACATCCAGAAAGCAGCTGCACTGAGCTTCTTCCCCCTGGAAGCCCAGGGACCCCCTACCTGTTTCTGGATGCGCTCCATCTCCTCCTGCTCCCGCCGCTCCTGCTCCTCTGCTTGCCTCCGCAGCTGCTCTTCCTTCTCCCGGGCCTGCTCGGCTTCTAGCCGCCGGGATTCTTCCTCCCGGCGAGATCTCTCTTCAGCCACCTTTTGGGCCAACTCTTCTCTTTTTTGTCTGGAAAGAGACAAATATAAAACCAAGATAACGATGGGAGTTCCAGAAAGTGAGTTAGTGGTGACTGCAAGGACAGTCTGTTCAAGGTCTGAGAGAAAAACCCCTACTTGGATACATTCAACATCATCCAGGGACAGAATGTGAGGCACTCTACGTCTCCCCCATGTTCCCAGCCTCTGGTAAATAGCAGCAGAATCTAAGCACTGATTTTTTTTTTTTTTAAAGATTTATTTATTTATTTCTACAAGCACTGGGTACAGTCAGAAGCGCAGGAGGGTGAGAGAATTCACCAGAGCCAGAGCAGGGAGCAGAGCGGGCAAAAGGACCGAGGTACACTGCTGAGGGGAGCAGCGGGCGGCAGGAGAGGTCTGCGCGCCATGTGGGACCCTCCTCCGGTGGCCGGGGAGCAGCCGGGGATTGAACTGGGGATCTAACCGGCGCTGCAGAGGCTGCGGGTAGCTTCGCAACCTAGTGCTCAACCGCTGCGCCACCGGGGAGGCCCTAAGCACTGATTTTTCTTAAAGGATGGTCTTTTAGTAACAAATTATAACTCTTTGTAAATAATACAGATTTCAATATTCTGGCACAGGACAGGAGGCGAGGGACCCTCAATATGCGTCCTGGGTTGGACCCACCCAAGGTGGCAGCCAAGCATGGCTCTCAGATCCTGCCCAGAGGGGCAGTTCTGCTTACGTGAAGAACAATTATATTACACTGACATCAGCCTTATTAGCCCTGGGAAGAGGATAACTAAGCAAACTGTTTTGGCATAGTGTCTTGACAGGTGAGCAGTGGGCATTTAAGACCCTCACCCAGCTACCCTGGGAGGAGTTCTCTCTAGAAAGAAGAAAACATGAACTCTAATTGTGCCTCTTTGAATGCTAATTAGAAAGAGAGTGAGGAAATACGATTAAAGATATGTTATGTGAAAAATCAGATTGCACACTTGTATCTCTATTGTGGTTATAATTATGTAAATATATGTGTGTCTATTTCTGTCTGTATACACACCCACACATTATTCAGAGAGACTAGAAAGGATTACCCAAGATGTACACAGTTGAAATCCAATGAGATTACGACTACAGTTTTCTTTAAACCTTTTCCCATTACTGTTAGACTGTCGTTATAATAAGAAAATGTGATTTAAAAACAAGAACGCAGTGGTCAGAGGAACATCAGGTAAGAGCAACTGTGATTCACCCTCATTACGACTACCACGTCTTGACTCAGTCTGAAGATTTAAATAATCCAAGGTGTCACCAGGACATTGGTAACATGAGGCAGAGTGATGTGGCTTCGTTACCTTTCCAGCTCTTCCCTCTCTCTCTTCTCCTTTTCCTCCTTCTCTCTCTGCTCTCGGGCCAGTCGCCTCTTCTCAGTTAGCAGCCTGGTGGCCTCTTCTGGGTCGGTAGTGCCTGCAGAGGCCTTAGGAGAAGCACTGGCAGTCATGGTGGATGACGGGGCCGGGACGGAGGTGGAGGTGGGGTCGAGGGCTGGAGCGGGGGCTGGAGCTGGAGCAGCTGTACAAACAGGTACAAGGAGAAACCCAATTGGAAACAAAACCCAAAGAACAAAACAAAAACTAGCATTCCCCACACCCCATGCCTAGAATTTATCATTATAAAAGAAAAGGGAATGTTTATTACCCTGTGTTCTCACGGTTTCACTGTATTCTATCTGTATCCAAGCAACAGATAACAAAAAGCTGCGTGTGTAAGTGAGACATCCAACAAAGCTGCCACTGTGCCACCAAGTCTTATTTTTATACACGTTAAATCAGTTAACCACATATACTGTGTACCCAGTAGAGGGCCTCACGGTAAGTTGTGTGGGAAGTTATACCCTGAGCAGAAGGAAGATGAGAGCGTCCATTTGTTTGTCATTACATTTGAAAAATTCCTGCTCTTTAGTGACTATTCATTACCAGAGGACGAATGTCCTTCTACAACCACGCTGTGAGCCCAGGTTCCAGCTGGGAAGAGGACATCCAAGGAAGAGGTTCCTTTCATGTGTCAGCCCAGAGCTGCCTACATGTCTGAGGTGTCTGGAGTCCAGGGCCTGCCTCTTCAGCCTTTAGCCTGGGCCTCCACTGTCAGTCCAGATGGCACAGGTAAGATGGAACAGCATTCTCTGGTCTTATTAGAGTCAAGGAAATGACCTGGGAGCAGCACAGCAGGGAGCCTCGCATAGGAGCTAGGTTCACATCCAAGCGAGGGGTGAACCGGGGCATCTGACCATTCCAGACCTTTCTTTCAAGTTTACGTTTCTCCTTCTCCTCCCACAAATTCTACCATCAGTATACTCTTTTCTCTCACATCTCTCTCTTCCCATGCAGACAAGAGTGGGACTCTTCTATTCTCTAAGAATACAGTAATTTTTCTCCAGCCATCTATTCTTTCTTTGTGACTATCCTCTATATTGAAATTAAGTCTTGAGAAGAAAATTTGGAAAGAATACAATTTTCAACAAGAAATAATTCCTAGATGCAAGTGATTTTTAAATTTCAAAATAGCATGTGGTTAGCCAGGGGAGATGATATCTACTGGATACTTGGGGGAAAAAATCTGAGCTTTGTAAAGCACATAAGCTAAAGTAGTGGTCCTTAAACTCCAGTGTGTACAGGAATGGAGAAATTTAACTAGACACTTTGAATTGTACCTGGCAATTTTGCACAGGAGTGAACTGACAAGTTTAGAGTCCCTCAGAGTCCTTAGATTCACCATAGATTCTGATTCAGTAGGTCTGAGGTGAGGCCTAGGTTCTGCCGTAAACACTACAGATGTGGTAGTTTTAAAAATATTCTATAAATTCTCTGAAAATCCTCCCTTTTACTCCACCCGTGTGTGAACTGAACCTATGTCCTGTGTCTAATAAACAGAGTATGACAGAAATTGTGAATTCTCTGCGTGTGACTTCTGAGACTAGGCATAAAAGAACACTGTGAGTTCCATGTGATTCTTTCTCCCAGGATCACTCACTCAGGGACGCCCCAGAGCAAGCACAGACCTCAGGGCGTCAAGCAAATCTATGGAGACATTGTCATGCAACAACAGGGTCACCTGCCACAACACATGTGCCTGAGCCACCTTCTAACTACCCAGCTAAGCTGCTTCCAAATTCTTGCCCAATATGATGTAATAACTGTTGTTGGTTTAAGCTGCAAGGTTTTGGGATAATTATTCAGCAGTAGGTAACATAAGTAATTCTGAAGGGGATGCTCTGAACATCACACTTTGTGAAAGACCAGACTCAGCCACTGAGAGACCATGAGTGAAGTAACACACTATGGATCCAGCAACATAAAGGTGTTTGGATGTATGGTTCTTTTTCTATAGATAAGAAAATTAAACTTAAGTTCCCAAAGTTAGTCTCACAGTGAGATTTCCAAGTCCCTAATAAGAATGAACAGATGAATGAATTAATAAAGGCAAAGTAAAAGCATAGAAGAAAAAGGCAGCAAGTATAGAGAAAGCATCAATTCACACTCCATCCAAGTGAGTTAATTCTTACCACAGGAAGCCTCTGGTTCAACAGTGGTCCCCTCCTCAACTGCGGCTTCTTCCACCTTCACTAAAGGTACCCTGCCCTTCAATGAAGACTCATTGGCAATTTTTTGAGGTTCCTTCTGGGAGTCTTTCCTCTCCGTTTCTGATTTGCCTTCTCTCTTGACAGGACGGATGTTGCCCGGAGATGAGGGCCGGGCTTGGGCAGGGGTAGCTTTGACTGATCCAGGAGGCAAAGATGATATTGGTCTGGGTGTGCCAGGTAAATGAGGTAAGGACTTGGATGGGAGCCTGGGCAACAAACAAATGTAAAGGGAAGGGGACACTTCAGAACAGGCTTTCCAGAACTTTCCTTCCCCATACTTCTACCTTGCAATAGTCCTACAACACCAAAGTAAAAAATAAAGATGTTTATCTATGTATATTTGTCCTTTATGTGGCAAATGCAGAAATATTGACCTCAGAGATTCGTTTCAGTTTTCTTTGTTATTTCCTTTAAGGAAAAATGTTCCTCCCCAACTCAAGGTCACACAATACGGGGAGAACAGCCTCCTTTCAAAAGACAGAGGCTACTTATTTTCCAACATGGAGCAACCCAGCCAGTCTCTTCCACCTCACTTACCAAAGTCGGGAGGAAGCTGGTGATCTTGCTTTGGGATTAGATGGAGACATAGCCCTTCGGAGGCCAGGTGTAAGGTGGAAGGGTACATTTTCTCTCTCCTTCTCCCTTTTAAAGCTCTAAGTTCAGAGAAACACAATTAGATTTTTTCATGAGTTGGACAACTATTTTCAGGGTATTCAATGGTTGAGATGCAATTTATTTAATAACCTTTCAGAAATTTATTCTAATTGTTTTCATGTCTATCCATTCCACCCTAACACAAGGCCCTTGTCAGCTAAAGCTGAAAATTATTACTTAACATATTGTGACACTAATGAGGAGGCATTGGGCATGTGACATTTGCAGTTATATTTACAAAAATAAAATTCACTCATATTTTTAGAAAGTTTACTTTCTATACATTTCATCTAAAATTACCAGTAGCAAAGTCTGGTTAGCTGGCACTAATGTCAAAATAAAATCACTTGCAGTCTTTAATTAGAGACTGATTAAAAATCACTTCCACTATTAATTAAAACATGTCTTTACCTCTTAATATTTTAGTATTCTAATGTTTTTCTCCCCAGAAAATACTAATTTTTTGCTTTTAAAAAATTTATACTTGCTGTACCAGACATCAAGTCATTTTTCTCTTTCTATTCTTATACAAATGAGTTCTTCCTCACCCAGCATCCTCACCCTCCATCCTTTGAAGGAAAAGTCAGGTTCAAAGTGAGGAACATAAGCTATTTTTAGTATTCTTCACTAGGGATGAAATCGAAATCTGAGGGGGGAGCCAAAACATCAGGCCTCCTCTGAATGCCAACTAATAATTCAGAGATGTGCCACCTTTCTTAAATTGAAACAGGCAAAAAGAGACACAGAAGTGGTCTGATGGTGTAAAGTCAATCAAGACCAAAAAATGCACTGAAGGACTCATTCTAAATATCTGAAACTCATAGCAGTGGTCTGGGATGGGCATCCGTGTGAAAAGAAGAGGTTAGCTCCCTGGCTAGGGATGGAACTCATGTTGAAGTGACTGACAATAGCTTGATAGGGCTGAGTCTTTAACCCCTGCACCATCAGGGAGGCCTAGAAAATTCACTTTTCTGACATTATGGTAGATAGCTCCTAGCCTGTTGTGTCACCAACAAGCCCTTCACTCTATGCGGTCCAGGTAGAAAGCTGGAGCCAGGGCACAAGGAAAGGGGCAGAATAGCACCTGGGATCAGGCCCAGTCAGCTGGCAGGTTCCCTTTTCTTCTTTCCTTTTTTGCCTGGCTCAAGTATCAACTCTCTGCTTCCTTTCCTTCCCTTTTGTTCCCATCAGTGTCCCTTCTAATTGTTTCTCTCCATTTTTCTTTCAGCCTCCTAGTTTATGAGCTATCAGTTGGGCAAAGACAACTGCATATCAGATAACACAGTGGACACCCCTTATCTGCAAGGGCTTAGTTCCAAGACCCCCAAAGGATGCCTGAAACCTTGGACAGTAACAAACCCCATATATGTTTTTTGATACAAACATACCTATTATAAAGTTTATAAGTTAAGCACAGTAACAGATTAATAATAATTATTAATTAAATCGAATTATGATACTATACAGTAATAAGTTTTGTGTAAATGGTCTCTTTCAAATATTTCATTTCATGTAAAATTCTGACCAGGAATTCTTGCAAGTAATTGAAAGCAAAGAGAGAAAAACCTGGGATAAAGAGGAACTACTGTATTCAATTCCTGGAATTTCTAAGTGAAACCAATGAAGACTGAGACAGGAAAGAGCTTTTAAAGGTGCTACCAGTTTTGCCTCACTGATGGCTGCAAAACCCTCTGCTCCACCTCTGATCCCAGAAGGCAGGCGGTGGGACCTCAGGAAGCAGGCGCAGTCCTTGGCTAACAGAAGTGGCAGCCACCATATGGGACTCTCTTGGCAGGTGTACAGGGTGGCAATTATGTCTCTGGCAGATCAGTCCCCAGAGTGGAAGGTACAGGCTCTTCCCAAGGGAGCTTGGGGTTAGGTTCCTCATATAGCATTTTTTTTCCTTAAAACATTTTAATTTGGCTGAAATCAGATCAAGGAGTGATCTAATGGGAAAATAAGTCAGGAAGGATAATTGTGAAATGGAAGGTTTGGGGACAAATTTCCCACCTTTGTCATGATAATAAGACAGGCAAGAGGCAGTAAACCTACATAAGAATGTATAGTCCTTAGATAGTCCTTTTTTTGTTAAAGTACCATTAAACCAATCTTTCTTTCTCCAAACTGATCTCCTGTAGTCATCTCTGAGGGGTAGAGGGAGGGGGGAGAGATGGCTTGGACAATGCTCAATACCTGACAACTTTCTTCCAGGCAGAGAGATGATTTTGCCCTCATAGTTCTTTCAAAAGTCCTTTCATTGATCTTGTACTTAGTCACCTAATGGTGCTCCTGATTCTCATGTTGAGCTGGGTAAATAGCCAGCAGTCTACATAATCACTTTTCTTGCTGACCCTTTCCAGAAGTGTAGGTGGAATACATGCATCAAGCAGTTCATGTTAATGGTCTAAACAATTTACCAGCAGGACAAAGTCTAACTTTACTAAGCATTAAGCTTAGAATACAAATAACCTCTCCAAGAGAGACAAGATAGATAGCACTGTCTAACATAAACTTTACTGATAACTGACATGTTTTAAATCTGTGATGTCCAATATATAACCTCTGGCCACATTTGATGATTTTAATTTAGACCTAAATTAATTAAAATTTAAAGTTAAATTCAGTCTCACAAAACATATTTCAAGTGCTTAACAGCCACTTGAATTTAGAACAAAGTTAACTAAAATTGAAAAAGATATTAAGAAAACAATCCCATTTCCAATAACATCAAAAAGAAAAAAATACTTGAAGATAAAATTAATCAAAGAAACATACTTGTACACTGAAAGCTAGAAGACATCGCTAAAAAAAATCAACGAAGATACAAATAAATGGAAAGACATCCTGCATTCATGCCCTGGAAAACTTGTTCAGATGTCATAACTATCAAAAGCAATTTACAGATTCAATACAATCCTCATCAAAATTCAATCTCATTTTTTGCAGAAATTGAAAAATCCATCCTAAATTCACACAGAATTTTGAGAGACTTTGTGTAGCCAAAACAATCTTGAAAAGGAACAAAGTTCTTCTTTGTGCTTGAATTCAAAAGATCCTGATTTTAAAACACGTCACAAAGCTGCAGTAATCAAAGACAGACACACATACCCATGGAGTAGAATAGAAAGTCCAGATATAAACTGTTGCATGTATGGTTCAAGTATCCCTAAGAAGGCTGGGAAAGAGGGCAAGACAATCTTTGACAAGTGGTACTGGAAAAACTGTGTATTTACAAGTAAAAGAATGTACTTAGACCCTTCCTTATACCACATATAAAAACTAACTCAATTAAGGATCTACATATAAGACTTAATATTGTGAAATTTCTTGAAGAAAACATGTGGGGGAAGCTTTATGTCACTGCATTTGGTAATGATTTCTTGGATATAACATCAAAAGTACAGGCATCAAAAGCAAAGAAACAATTGAGCCTACATCAAACTTAAAAACTTCTGTGTATGACTGTGTAAGAAGGCAACCAACAGAATGATAGAAAATATCTGCAAATCATATATCTGATAAAGGGTAAATAGAATTATAAGCAATTAAAATATTGAAAAAGTAAAGGTTAAGGTTAAAAACTGGACAAAGGGTTTGAATAAATATTTTCTCCCAAAGATGATATGCAAATAGCTAACAAGCATAAAATGTTGTTCAACATCACTGATAGAGAAACGCAAATCAAAACCACACTAAGATATTGCTTTGCACCCATTAAGGTGGTTAGCAAAAGAAAATAATGAGTGTTGGTGAAGACGTAGAAAAAATGGAACCCTTGTGTTCTGTTGGTGGGAATGTAAGTAAAATGATGCAGTCAATATGTCAGAGTTCCTCAAAAAATTAAAAACAGAAGTATAAAATCCAACATTCCTGCTTTGGGTATAAAAAGAGTGTAAGGCAGTATGTTGAAGAGATATTTTCATACCATGTTCACAGCAGCACTATTCACAATAGACAAGAGGCAGAAGTTTTCAAATGTTCATCAACAGATGAATGGAATAATAAAATATGGTATCTTCCTATCTATGTATCTACCTTCCTTCCTTCCTTCCACCCACCCACATGATGGAATACCATAAGCCTTAAAAAGAACAGAAGAAATCCTGTCATGTGCTACAATACAGATGAAACTTGAGGACATCATGCTAAGTGAAATAAGCCAAAAAGACAACATGACCCTACTAATATGGGGTACCTAAAGTAGTCTAATTCATAGAAACAAAGTAAAATGATGGTTACTATGGGTCAGGGGAGGAGAAGATAGGGAGTTGATTAATGGATATAGTTTCAGTTTTACAAGATTTAAGGTATTCTGGAGATTGCACAGCAGTGCAAATATACAGAACACTACTGATATGTACACTTAAAACTGGTAAAGGTGTAAACTGTATTAGCTGCATCTTACTATGTCACTAGTTGCTCAACTGAGTTCCACAGTGACAGTTCCAGGGTATGAATGACTTGTGGAGTCAATTTCTGGCAATAGGTATTTACTTAATATTTGGTTGTAAAGAAGTGAGAAGATGACCAACAGCTCAAATACACAAAGAGGAAGGCATAAACACACACACATACACACACACATACAAATACCCCAAAGCTAAACTAAAAGGGTGAGAAAGTAGAGGTTCTGGATCATGCAGTGAAAATCCCTTATATAATCTGCTGCCCAAGGTCAGGCCTCCAATTTCCCTGCTCGAAGGATTTTTATCCTTAACAAGATATTTTTCCTTTGGGAAACGCTTTTTCCTCCACAGTAAATACTGTTAACCAGAAAAACTATAGCAATGAGCCAGAGGTTTATGTGCAAGGGAGAACAAAGTTTCATTTGGGGTCTTTCAGAGACTGCTATGGACTGGGGCAAGGCCTTCTGAATGCTCCTGGTTCACAGAAGTAAGTAGTAAAGTCTTTAAAGGGGAAAGAAAAACATGCAAAAGGGAGGGATATTTGTATGCCAGTGCAGCGATAGACTGTCCTTTGTGAAACGGAGATCTCATAGCATTTTTTGGTCTTTGTGGAAGGCATGGCCCTATCTTTCCAAACTCCCCAATGGCAGGTGTCAGGATGCTGGTTTGCTGATGGCATCTTATGTGGTTGTAAATGCAGGTTATCAAATAGTCAGGCATGCTAGACAGACGTAAGTTCTACTCTCTTACTGCACCTGACTCCATTTTGGATATCCCCTTTAGCCACTTTAATTTTGTGATTTCTCAGTCATCTCCACAGTATCCAAAATTTGGGGCCAAAGCTGTTCTGTTGCAATAAAGCATATTGTCAACAGCTAGAATCTCTGAAGCAACAACACGCTAAGGATGGAAAACTTCCCAGACATCAAAGGTGGTTTCACCTTTGGCTTGAAGGTCTGGATGTCTGACTCAGTCATGAATTAGACACTGATGCCTGAGAGCCTGCAGGGCTTGAGAGAAAACTGCCTGGAGGCAAAGCTATAAAGCTCTTACAATTCTCAAATTATCCTCAAATGTCTAAGCAAAACCCCTTTAAGTGTCTATCAGCTTTATAAATCTGAATTGTTCTGGGAAGATTTTAAAAAATTGTATCAGTCTTTCATTAAATGTGTCATGCTTTCTCCAAGGGAGAAAAGCAATGAGATCTGCTGTTTGATTGGTGAATCCTTTAAGAATAAAATACAACAGTCAAAGACCACAAAACAAATCTACATCTTTCAAGGGATACCAAAATAACACACAGTTCAATACAAAGAAGCTTCCTGGAAACATGCAAGTGACTTCATTGCATGTACGGCATGGTGAAAATTAATATGAGCTCAGCCACCATACCAGTAATAACAAGTACAAATTATATTCGTCACTTGCAAAAACTGAGTTTATAACACAGTGCAGTGGCATTGTAGGTATTGGTTACTTAGCAAATAATAAGTGTTTTCAAAACACTCTGTCACTACATTTTAAGATCTGGGTCTTGACAGGGATGAGCAAAGAGGATAAAAACTCTTTATCTTGCTTTTTTAGTGAACCCTATTTCAGAATTCAGTAGCTTCTGCATGTGTTTGGGATAAAAGGCAGAGAAGCAGATGAGGGCTACTTCTCTTTCAAAGGCTCCTTACTTTCAACAACGGACACATGCCACGTGCTGGCACTGCACTTATTTGTATGTAGGCTCCAGCTGGGGAGTTTAGCCACTCATACATGCTTGGACCAAGACCAGTGTCACCTCCAAATTCAAATTTTTAGGGAGAGGGAAAATCCTCAAGTAGAGAGAATGTGTGGGGACACCAGCGTGAGGCCAGTCAGATTCAAGACTGGTGGGATGGGAAGGAAGGTGGATGTCACCATCTACGCTCTTAACCCACACCGCGCAGAAACAGCACAGGCTCCCGGGGGCGCCAGGTGCTCCCAGTAGCTACTCACCGCTGTGCCATGAATGGTCCTCCTCCTCGCAGAGCCCTCGGGTGGTGTTACAAAGACTTTTGGTCGATCCAGCGAATTTCTAGAGTATGCAGCTTTGTAAGGCATGTTGATGGGACTGCAAGATGCTGAACGAGGACAAATGGGGATAACTAGGGTGCAGGTGATTGTTTTACACACAAGAGTGCCAGAGGAGCAGGTGGAAGAAAGCCAAAAGCAGGTTCAGGAAAAGGAGCAAAGCAGAGATAGAGAGAAAAGTAGGAAGAAGATGTTATTACCTAAAGGTGTCCAGAACCATCATACTCAACTCTCCTCTAAGTCCTATCCGTTTACAGTGTCCAAAAGGCAGGCATGTCCAAATGAAAAAATCTGGAATATATACTCTATTTGGCTATTTAACACTATTTAATATTTATGATTAAATATATAGATGTAATCCAATAATTATAGAAAGCAATGGCCTTATATTCCTATAAACTGATGGTTCTGGTAAAAATGCTACAGTAGTGATATAAGATAATTTTTATATAAGAACGGGTTTATAATCAGATATTTCTTAATTAGTTTTAAGATGGAACAAAAGTTGGAAAGAAAAGAAGCAAGCAAGCAGGCAAGCAAGATATATATAACTATGCCAGGAGTAAAGTTTAACAGCCGTGGGAAAAAAGCAAGTGAAATTTTTAAATGCTAAATCATCAAGTCTTACCAGGTGTCAAGACTTATAAGGCTAACTAATAAGGGGTGGGGGTAGAAATCTGTAAATTATTTATTTATTTAAATATTTAAATGCAAATCAAATGCATGCTTCTGGGCTGCGCTCAAAACCAAGGCATTTTATGGTTTACAACAAGCAGCAGAATATAGTATAGGGGGAAGGGATGAAGTCATTTAAAAAAGGGAACAGAACATAAAGATGTTAGAATTGCCAAAATCAAGGCTGAATCATGGATCATGATCTTTTACAGTTGTACTCAAGATAGAATATTTTTTGAAAAACCACAGTTTCTGATCATTCACCTTCAAAGGAACACTGTCTTAATCAAGTGATTATGAGCAACGATGGATTTAAGGAACTTTATCTAATGCTGCATAGGCGTCAAAAGTTTGGCCACTAAAGTTCCAAGTTTCATTTTCAGGCTAATCCAGAAACCTTGTTTTCCAACAAAAAATAAGACAAACAGGACTGCTGAGGGGAATATCATGTGTTTGGTCCATGTTATAAGATGACTTTACCTAGTGCCAGTCATGATAGCAACCCTTTAAAGGGACCATTTTCTCAACTGAATAGTATTAATAAATTAAAACTAGTTTGCCAGTAGCTATTGTTTTATTCGTGACATATGCAGTGATGTATCTATATAAGTATATGTATATTGGTTTTCTATAGTGATATAGATTGGTAATATGTTGGTAGCTTAAATAAAAATACTGATTTTGGATCCCTCCCAAAAAAAAAAAAAAAAAAAAAAAAAACTAGTTTGCAAGACAAATTTGGGATAATCTTAATTTCAGGATTATAGAGTCAAAATATTTGTTTTCTGATTTAATCTGTAGACAGAAAGCCGATCAGTTGCATCTTCATTAATGTGATCTCTTTCATTAAATGCCTCTCATCTTCTGGTGAGCACTGAACAGTATGGCAGTGAATAGAGATTGGTAAATGTACTTCCTTCTCCATCATTGGAAAATACGATTTTATTCCTTCAGGATAAACTAAAACACTTCACTTTCCTTCAGCTCTTTTTTAAAGAAACGTGTGTGTCTCACTAGCAACTGACAAAGCTTTGCCTCAGACTGAATGACGAAGGAAGTTTCCATTGTGTTGTAAGGAAGGAGAACCTCTCCTCATTTGCCTTATGATCACAGGGCAAACCATTTGAAAATAATTTTCCTCAAGTGCCATAAAAAGCATTTGCATTTCCAGACTGTAAGAGTTCATTAATGCAAATTCTTCCAAGGCAATCAAATGCATTGAGAGAATAACATCCTGGCACAAGACACTTCTGTGGGATTAAAGACCAGGTAAAGCACTCAGGTCCCACAGCACAGGCAGGCCATTCACCTGGCCCAAGGATCAAGAAACACTGGACAACAACAGTCCTGCTCTGGGGCCATGAATCTGGCACTGAAAAAGGAATGAAGCACAGAAACATGATTTACCCCCCCACTCTGCCCCCAGTGCAAACTAATAATTTCAGGGGGTATCTATGCACTACTTCCTGAGCTCATCCTGGATGTAATCCAGTCTCACCATGCCTTCTGGTTCATTCTATCATACTGCCAAGGTAATATTAAGAACATTAAGAAAATATCCTTAAGCTTAGCATGGTCACTACAAACCCTTCAAATTTAGGAACAGTGGCTAAAAAACCGAACACATCTTCTAAGGATACTACATTTCAGAGAATGTTGTTCTGAGCAACTGAAAAACCTGAAACCTTGAATCAGTTATTCGAATAGTTGTGCTCTTCTGAAATAAGAATTATATATAGTTATTTTCCCTTCAGAGTGCCCCTCATATTCCAAAGCAGTTTAATTAGACATAAAATGTCTTTGGAGAAGTCTTCTATAATACTGTATTTTGTCCTATTCTTGGTAGCAAGCATGCATTATTTTCTCTTATTCAAGATGCTGTATATGAAACAATGGGTGAAGAGAAAAGATGGTGTAGTTTAAGCAGTAGAAGTGTTGCACAGAGAATAAAATATTAATGTTTATTGATTGCCTACTCTGTGCAGGTACTATTCTAAGCATTTTGTATGTGTTAGCTCACTAATCTCAAGCCTCTAGTAATCACATGATTTTAAATCTATTTTAAAAAGAGACATGGAATATTAAAGCCAAAGTAGTAGCCACATAAGAGAGGTATGAGACTGTGATTCCCAAGTCTCAACTGCTCTATGCTTGTTCTGCATGTTTGCAATCAATAAACACCTTGTGGTAAGGAGAGCTGTTTCAATCTATTGTAACCCTGCCTCTGGACATAAGGTTATCCTCCTGTCAATGGCAATTGGGACTAAGATGAAATCAAGGGACAACACTAAAATGGAAAGACCAGAAAGAACAATCAAGGAGAGGTGAAAAAAATGACAGTGATGGAACATGTGTTTTTGACAAGATAAATATGAGATGTTTACATATATCCTTCCAAATGGAAAGAAATTTTTAAATTACGTTTTGGTTCATTAAACGTAAGTTGAATCAATGCAGTAAGAGGGAACAATGATCTTAGGGACCTATTAGTAATTCAGGCAACTCGAGAAAAGGCTATGCATTGCTTCACACTAAAATGAATCACACAACATATAACTTTGTAAAAAGGAGAATGGCAAAGGTGCAAAGTAAAGATAAAAAGCACCTTAATTGAATATGAAAAATGAAGAAGGTGGAAAGATGGGTAAGTAGAATGGACAGAAGATGAAGAAATGGTGTTGGAAAAGACTAGAGGGAAGAATGAAAGAATTGACAAAAGTTAGAGATGACAGAAATAGCAAAGAAAGACAATTTTCTGGCTATGACGCAGTCCTTTAGTATAAGACAACAGTCAATGGGGCGATTCAGAAGTTTAAGTTACACACTGTTCAGATCCTATGAAATAGGACTAAACTGCAAAAATTTTCCAATTAGGTAGAAAATGAAAGGTTTTTGTGACTTCTATGAAATTCATAGGATAAAAAATAAAATTATCTTGAAATAAACTATTTTTTTCTTCCAGAAAAATGGCAAGATGCAATGTGAGAGCTGACAGAAAGCACAAGACACCATGGTCACCCCGTAGATGGCACAGCTCACAGAGCACCCTCAGTGCTGAGAATGGAGGAGGGAACGCATCTAGAATCAAGTCACCAATTCTCCACGGGTTCTGGTATAAGACACTTACTGTCACTGTACTTTGTTTGGAGAAGCAAGTGGTGGGAATTCACCCACAGTTGTTTTGTTGACTGTCTCCCAGGGGTATTATAAGAATTAGGGTTGATACTCATTAGCTTTCTGGGCGCCGTAGATGAAAGACTTCATAAAACCATCCAGAATTATTATTTGTAAAGAGGGCTAGTGAACATGAAGAGGCTTGCAAAGGCAAAGCATTTTTAAAGGGAAGCTTTAGAAAGAGGCTGAACAATTTCCTAAGTGCCAAAGATGAGGGCCGGTAGGCTGGTTACTGGGCTTTACCAATTGTGCCCAAAGATATGTGGGAAAATCCAAATCAATTCCCCATGAGGTAGACGTTACCAAAAGCCTAGTTCCTATCTTTCTTTATAGGTAGATATAGGCACTATACTAATTCCCATGAAATAAATTGACACATTCAGACATGTTTTGCATTTCAAAAAAATAGAGGAGTTATAACTAATTATAATAACTAGTACTTGGCACATTTTAACTTATTCTCAAAGAATGTAACAAATAAGAACACCTTAATTAGCCTGCACCACAACTCTCAGAGTTACTGGTAGTGGGGGTGGGGGCCATTCCTAGATTACATACAAAAGGCTGGTACAGGGAGGGTAAGTGGCCAGCCCACAGCCACTTTATAAAACTCTGTTTCAGCAGCCTTTGTACTTTGATTTTATTTTCAAGTCCAGATGTTAGTATTAAATATGAAATTATTTCTACCTCTGATTATGCGTTAAGATACAGGGACAGAAAAAAAAAAAAAAGGCAGGTAAGGGATAGGATTTTCTGGTCATGTTATGACCAAACAGAAACTTCTGAAGCCACCTGATCACAAAGAGGGGCATCCTTTGTCTGCCTGGTATCTGGCATCTTGAGAAGATGCTAAGAAGGAAGCTTTGAGGAAAAAGAGCCAGGGCAGGAAACCAACACCAACTGACACATTTCCAAATGTGTTCACTCAAGAAGAGAAAAGCACACATTTGGGGGAAAATGGAGATGTGATTAGATGAAACTGGCAGCTCAGAGAGATATGCTTCAAAAGGAGGACTTTACCTCACCAGCAAAGTTGCACCTTGACAGTGTTACCTGTATCTCCAGACAAGGCGGCTGTACTTTTACTTCTGGCCAGGAACGAGTGTGTGGGCGTCAGCAGTCTGTTAACAACGCTGCTCTCCCAAGGGCTGAGCTGCAGGCGGCGAGCTAAACGTCACCACATAAGCAAGATGTTAGAAGCATTCTCTCCAGGGGCAAGAGGGCGAGAGCATTGCACCTATCACTTCCAAATGCTGGACCTTGGAGAGAGACCAGGCTTTCCAGAGCAACCAGCTGGCATGGAGTTAGGGCTGCAGGAACCGGTCCAAAGGCACAGCAGTTCCCTGAGCTGCCCTTCTTCAGGATATTGTTTGTAGCAGGCTCTATATTCACCTGATGGACACAGATTTTGCTAATCACCCTCCTTTAGTTGTCAACAGGTAACAAAACAGAAACATCATTTCATCTACAGATTTGGCATGCACTGCTGCCTCCACTCACATGCAGATGGGCAGGGTGGGCAGAGGTCTGGTGGCGTGCATCTCAGCCAAAAAAGCTCCCTAAATACCTGTATGAGCCACTCTAACAGAGATTTTGGCATGTTCAGGCAAGACTGATTTCCAGAGATAGAAAGGGTCTCCTTTAAATTCTGCTAGATCTCCATCAACTGGAGATTGAGCAACTGGGGCAAATTAGGGATAATAAATGAAAGAGGTTGCATTCACAGTTCGGTGTAGAATATCCTTTTAACTTTTCCGTTTAGCAAGCCAGGTTCTGTCAGGACCCTGTTTGGCAATAACATAAAAATTTGGGAGGAGGATAAGGCTAAAGCTGAAGCAAAGTAAAATTAAGTAGAAAAGCCAAAATTCAATATAGGCATAATGTTGGAGACTACTAGTGGTTGTGTGAAGAGTCTAGAAAATAACTGTAAGATAACAAAATGATTCATTTGCAGTTTATATAATTTAGTCCAAAATTGTATTGTGGTTTGGCTGGACTACTGCTAGAAAATGCATGCTGGTTATAAATTAATTACTTTGCTTATAGTGTTAGCTTCCAGTGATGGTCCAAGGAAATACAGAAACTAGTTTTCCAAAATATCAGGAAGAAGCTTGCAAAGTGCTACTACAACTACCACTAAAGTGATCATTTCTCTCTATTTTAGAACACACTTCCAAGTTACTTATAAAAACTCTTAAAATTGTCTACACCTGATAAGGCCATTTCTGTTCTACACCTTCTGCCTCAAGTGCACATCCCTGGTCTCTGGAGCAGTTGTTCGGGCAACATTTTTTTGTATGTCATGTTTTAAAGGAATGCACTTAAATCCTAGGAAATTAATGCTAATGGAAGCCATTTAATGTTAAATGTTACATAAAACATTGCTTCTTGAGAGAAGGCACCAGCTTCCAATAAATACCTTAATTATCTGAGTTTCTTTTAAAAGGGTGGTCATGTTGATCAATATTCTGCTGAATCTAAAGATTAGTGAAATGTTCATTAGATTTTTCTATTTATTAGGAGAATCTTCCTGGTAAAATCAAATCTTTATCTGACATTAACAGTTTAAGAAGAGGATCTATTATAAAAACTATAGTAATAGTTACACAGCAGAATGTACGCAGGATTTAAGTGCTATTATAACCACAGTACGGTAGTATGTGTGTTTTGTGTGTTGATGTATATCAGTAAGGAATATAAAGTAAACTAAAGTAAGAATACACTCATAGAATAAAATCATTGATGAAAAGTGGTTAGGATTAATCAAAAATCTTCAGGACTATGTTTTTAGTAGATGAGAAAAGATGGATGCTTCCATTCCTTAGATAAACTATAAGTGGCTGAGAGTTGCAGAAATGTCTCATTGAAAAGACAGGTAACCCTTTCCCTCCTTCCATTAAGAAGTTCAATTATTTAATTCTGTGAGTCTTTAAGACATCAACCAAAGATTCTGCCTCAATTGCACATCATGAAAAACCCTCTTTGATTTGTATTTAAAGCAAATCCAAAGAGATGTGTTTAGTAGCTGTGTGAATAAAATATTTTGATAGGAGGAAGAGACTTCTAACATCATTCATAACAATGTCCTGAGCAAGAGAGGCAGAAAACTGTTTAGTAAAGGTTAGGATAGGAGAGCTATTTCTTTTTTCAACTGACTTTAAGATAAGCCCCTGAATGAAGAGACATTAATTCTCATGAAACAACTCTATAGTATTGATCCTTTTTAAGCAGTTAAAAATGAGATATTGACAATTCCAGCAATAGGGAGCAGGAGAGGCAAGCAAACATTATAGTTATCTTCTCTGCCATGCTGCACCAGAAGCAGGAAATCACTATTTCAGATCCTGATGGTGGGGACTGTGCAGGAATCAGGCAAGTATTGCCGGATCCTGATTTTTCATTAGAGGTAGGAAACTCACATTTTATATGAAATTTTCCATATTTTAAAATGTTGGCAATTAATTCAAATTAAAATATGAACAAAAAAACTGCTTAGATCAAGGAGAATATTCAGCTCAAAGCCTACCAAGGTATCCTTTGATCTAGATTCCAGGAAAAAAATTCGAGGACTAATTATTTTCAAATATCCTAGTCTTCCTCCATGAGAAATAAGCTGGCCGGCCAAGCAGGCAGTATAAAAATAACAACATACATATTTAATGTAAAAGCTTCCAGGGTCCATATTTTCTCTGTTGCAGCAATTAAAGATATCTTTGATAATCAAAGGTTTCCTTTAACTTGGGTCATTTTAGCAATCCCTGTGACACTATATTGAGTCATAAACAATTTAAAACCTAGTAGGGCACAGGCATAGAGTTAATGGATACCACTCATTAGCTTTGAGGGGCTTGAGGAAGTAGATGTTTACCAACTGGTATGGAAATAATTTCAGTATTTTTAATAACCAGTAGAGCATTTTACCTGATTGTCAGCCTTGAACATATCAGAGTCTCAATGTAAAGTCTTGTTTAAATGGCTGTGTCCTAGGGTTAAGAAAACTCAAGCAATCTAGCAATGGTGCATATCCTCTAACAGATTCTGTCACAAAAGCCTCTAATTCAATCATTTGATAAGTGCTTTCTAATTTGATGATAAAGCATAACTAACTTCTAAATATAGGTAGCAAAAAATAAACTAAATCATTTAAATTTCTAGATTGAAAGTTCAAATTCTGAAGAATTTCTATTCTTGCCTCTCACTGTCCTACTGAGGGTTTTTCCTACTTAAAAAATTTGCTTCAGGGCAATATAGAGCTCTCTGATGAACCAAATCTTTCTTCTGGGTCTCTTTGCTCATTAGACCTAAGAAATGGTTCATAGTTCTTTTGAAAAGGGATCAAAGAAGCAGAACTCCCAAGTTGAGTGTTTTTCCTGTCCCATTAATCCAGCTTAGTATTTAATTTTCTAGGTCTGCACCATGATTCAAGGGGCAGTTTCCTGGTCCTAGATGTGAATAAGTCATTGAATTTCCCTTGACCTTTAACCTCACCAAAGGAAGAATGTGTGGAGTCAGGGTAGATCTAAGGAAGGACCATAATGGTTAGAACTGAAGATGCAGCATAGCAACAACATGGTGATCTCTGCTCTAGTCTCTCTTCTCCAACAATTAGCCTGGAGGACATTAAGCCAGAACCTTGACCTCCTAGAAACTCAATTACCTCACATGGAGTAAATGAGTCATTGAACAAATCTTTCCTAGTTCTAAGATCCGATTATCCTCGGAATATCCAATCAGATAGTATCATACAGAATTTCCAAAGTGTCTACTTATTTCTAGTTGAAACAGACAATTTAGCCATGGTTATTTCACAGAAGAGTAAGCAGGTTACTCGTTTACTCGCCAATCTCCTCACCCCAACTTTAGTATGTCTCAGACCCAGGTTAACAAAACTATGAAATGAAAGTGCTGGATAAATGATCAATTCCAAAGAAAAAAATGAATAGACAACTCTAAGAATAGCATCCAGATGCTATATTTTTATGTTATAGTCTTATAATTTTTTAAAGGTTATTTATGTAAAGATTTTTAATTGATAACAGTTTTCTTTAACATATAATAGGTCCCGAACATGACTCTGTGTCAACTTGACTACATCATGATTTAGGCAAATCAGGTTAAAAAATAGAAATTGTTTATGTTAAAAGGCAAGCATAGAAAGTTGTTCAAACATTTACTGTTTTAAGAGATTAGTTATAAATAATTAATATATATAAATAATATAAATAATAATATATTATTGATAATATAAACACCAACATATAAAATATTATACATTACAATAACACCACAACAACTTTATATAATACTAAATATATATACACACACATATAGAACATGCACACATTACATTCTTTTTAAAGACCAACACTGAACCATTCCCAGTTTCTTAATAAAGTACTCAAAGTAACCACAATTTGCTACTTTTAAAGAGTATGTGTTTTTATATTGCACAATAAGTCTTTGGTTTTTAAAATTTAAAGTCATTTTATCTATGTAAAACAAGTAGGTGATCTTAAAAGCTTGCCTTTTCTATGGTATATAAATACATAAAATAAAACTTTGATTTTATAAATAACTTGACATTCATGTACTGTAAATCCATGGGATGAATAACTTAAAATTAAATAAAATGTGGATTGAAGGACTATGATTATTAAACTCCTTAAGAGGCTGAAATGATGATGATATTGTTGAAGTTAGGTCAAATCTCTTAAGTAAGCAAATGGATACCAAAAACCAACCACACACACAAGAAATGCATCAAGAAAAGCTTAATCAAATGAAAAAAGTTAGCAAGATAAACTCTACCAATATGAATCATTTAAAAAGGTTTTAGAAAGTCAAAACCTGTAATTCTGAAAATACAAAAAAAAAAAAGAAAAGAAAGGTCAAAGACAGTATGATGGAAGTAAAATAAATGTTCATAACAAAGATTATTTGCATGTTGGTGGATAAGTGGGTGATTTCAAGCTGTAAACTCATTTACTAAAGAGTTGAGAGAAGCACGCTTTCATCACTGCTAAATGCAATCATTCAGCCAAGTTCTAAAATGAGAAATGTTCTCGTCGCAAGGGAAATGCTGCTCAGCCGTTTATTGCTTTTTTACTCTGAAGTGTTTTTCTTCCTATTTAAGAAATGCAGGGAAAGCAACTTCAGATGCTTGTTTTTATCTGTAAACATTCAGAAAAAAAGCATGAAGTAAATAATGGAACACATTTTTGTTTTCTTTTTGACTGTACCTCTATCTGGAGAATTTAGCAAAGTTGCAGATGAAGAGGAGAGCCGCTTGCTAATGACAGGATCAACATGTTTCGAAAGATTCATGGTGGAAACTGATCGCCTGTCTGGATCTAAAACAAATGGAGATAATGCTAATTGACAGCCAGCATGCAGGATAGCAATTTCCTAGTTCACTGATGGAAGGAAAAACTAGGATTGGATGCTTTCAGCTCGATTACTAGAACATTCATAATAGCACAGTTTTTTAAGTGGACATTTTAAAGGTAACTTAAAGGCTAGAAATAAAAAGCATTTTTCTTACAAGATAAAATCAGTTCACTAATTTGTCAGCCAATGAAATTCAAGCATATTGTTATGCCAAATGGTAAAGATCCAAGAAAAGGCAGTGGAGGACTACTAAAATATTGGAGACAGAATTGAAGCAGAGAGAGGACCATAATGTGAATGTCTCCATGATTTCCCAAAGCAGGAATAATAGTGATGGTAAAATAGAATGCAATCACTTGAATAAAAAGAACACCAGGTAACATTTGTTTGCTGATACCTTTATTTGCAGAGTCATCTTACCAGGACATTAAAGTTCATTATAGAAGAGCATATTGAAAGAAAAATCCTTTCTAAGTAGAGAAAGGATGGCCACTCCAGGACTTCTTTAGTGAAATCCACAGATAAGCACACCTCTGTACTTTTAACAGTTTAGTGTGGTTTACAAATTTGCCAAACAAAACTGACAGCAATATAAATCGGAATTCTCTCAAGCCTCTGAATAGTATTGTTTATCATGCAGTTGAGTAATTTCACAGTAATTCTTAAATGTTCAAGTGAGAAGAAAAATCAGAATTTTAAAGGAAAAAATCAGCTGTTAGTTTACTGTCTAGACAGTGAAACCAAGCTGCAATCATGTTCATTAATATAAATGTTTCCTGAAAAAGGGGGCATACAATAAATCTAAAAATCTCATTATTTTATGTATACATCTAGGTTCCAGGGAGATGTTCTGATCTAAATTGGTTCAAGTTAAAGGGTCTTTGTCATATTTTATTTTTTATTGTTAGCGTCTTCTAAAACTAGAAAGAAAAATATTCCTTGTGGTAAAGGCTTTCAAAACCCAGTTCCGATTGGTCTTACAAACAACCTCGGTAGCAAAAATTTTAAAATGCATTATTCCCCCCGCTACAGAATAACCATTATTTATACTGAATAGGGTGTAAGCAAATCTTCCTTTAACCTCACATAGTCTCATCTTTTCACTGCGATTTGCATGGTTGAAGCAATTTTACTATTACAAAGCAAAATACCAATCATCATTTCTGTGACTCACATTTATACGCAACTGATGGGCTCTTAGGCAATCCGCACATAAAATTTTAGGGTAACATATTACGGGGAACATCCTAATGATGGAATGAATGTGAAGATCAAGGGCCAAGGAAGAAGAATAAAAGTTACTTCCAGGTGACTCTAGAGCAATACAGTTTTTGCTGTGGCTTTTGTTGAGGGAAATTGTGGCCACAAGTGTAACTATCCTCTCTGGTTAAATTAAGAAGCTACACCATTTATTATATGACTTAATCCAAAAAAGAATTATAATTTCAGAGCAATCATAACAAGAATTATTTATTTTTCTCGTTGTACAAAATGAAAATTAGCAAAAGAATTTATGAAGAATTGGTTTAATTCTTCATAGCCGATGCATGAGCAGACAGACACTGATTTAATTGAGATTACATTTCATTTCTAGAATGCCTGTGGGCCAGGAAACACTGACTGAGAACGAACATGAGCAGGCATTGAAAGGTAAGTGGTATTTGTAAATGAGTCAGCTCTGGTTGCCCTCAGAGCAGATCATTTTGACCTTTGAGAACTTTGGCAAATTCCAATTATCTTCGAACTTCTCTGTACCAATAGCAGCAATTTTCTCTAATTTACAGCCCTGCTAAAAATGGATTTTATCCAACAATATTGGTTTGTCTTGATCCCATTGGTAGTAATAAGGGTCATGTTAAACCCTGAGTGTGGAAGCAAGAACTAAAGCAGAACAACTTTATTTCCCTTTAAAAATGTTTGCAAATCGGTAACAGAGTGTGCTTTTTACCATACATATATAAAACATGCAGCCAGATAAAAGAAAAATAAGCAAAGCTGTGAAACATACAGCATGACAACTTTTCTGCAGGGAGCATGCATGTTAAACTCCTCCTAGACTGAAGTGTCACATGTCAACCACCCTTTATGATTGATTGCTATGTGCTCCACCAAATACAGGTGGTTATGAAGACAGAAAAAAAGTTTTGCTTTCACATCTGGTCCACTGTCATAGGAAAGTTAAGGGTGATAATAGGTGCTTAGATTTTTTTTTTAAATGAAGGAGTTACAGAATACACTGAATGTTAGGAATGACAGAGAATAGTCCAAACAAATACTATTAAGACCTAGAACTAAAAATGGCAACAGCAGTGTTGATGGGGTGTTGGGGAAGTGGGGTGAAAGGGCGCAGCCAGCTGGATGCACTTTGATCCCCAGTAATTCATTAGCTAAAAAAAACACTTGGAAAGGTTTTATACAAAACAGTGATTTAAAAAGAAAATAAACACATCACAGGTAATTAGCTTATTTCAACACCTTTAAGTCACCTGAGTTTATTGTCACACTTAAGAAAACACTGCCATCTCCCAGGTCTAGGTCTACGCAATGGGATGTATTAAGCATGCATTATTACTAAGGTGGTGGAGACCCAGCTAGTGATGGACCAGCCCTAGGTCCGAGGTGCTAGCTACAGGCCCGGAGATCACCATCCATGGGGATGTCTGTACCAGATTCACTAGTACCACCAACACTTGTGAAGTGGTGGTCCAGGCCTGCTAAATTGTGAGAGGAGAATGATGATTCAACAAAACCACCTGAGGACAGAATGTAAGACAATGATTTTTCAAAGTAAACAAAAAAAAAAAATATATTAGACTCACACAGATGAAAAAGAATTAACATACTTTATAAAAATTGAGGTATACTGAATTTACAGTACAAAAATAAAGTTTTCCACTAAGTCCAAATTTCAGTATGGTTTTATGCCCATTCAAGAATAAGGAACAGCTTAGTCAGATGCTCCTACTTTGAGCTTTAGAGACCTGCCTTTATTTATTTTTTTTTTTTTTTTAAGCAGAGCATTAGTGCTACACACAAATTAGGGTCAGAACACAGAATTTCATCATATTGATTTTGATCAGTCAAAATTGTTATGAGGCTTCCAGAGAAAAAGAAAACTGGTTAACCTATTCCATAATCCTGAAACCTTTATGCAGATGGATTACTTAAAATAATGTAGAGTTTGAAACTAGCATATTTAGAAACATCGCATAGATTTCTATCTTTAGGGAATTTTGTAACCAATGAGGAAATCAGCCTGGGTCAAGGGAGAGAACCTTACCTCCTACTTCCATCACCCTCTTATCCTCAAGCAGTGGAAATACCATGTAAGTATAGTTTAATTATTTCACCAGGATTTTTATTTGCAAACACAGACTTAGAAAAAAGAAGAAATTGTACATTTACTGTCCAGGAAAAAAAAAATAGTGATTTTAGAAGTGTCCATTGTCGGTTTACCTGCACTGTGGATGCTGGGGCTCCCATGGAGAGGACCTCCCCAAGACCAGCGGTTATGCTTCTGTCTGGGCTTCTGGCTCCTTTCCATTGTGCGTCGTACCACAGCTTCATGGCGCTCCTTAAATGGACAGAGGGGTGAGGGTTAGATTCCACCCCATGGTGTGAGGCTTCTTCTACTTAAGTAAAATGGAATTAGAGATAAAATTTCAACCTTAGTACTCCTAATTTTCTAAGTTAGAAATGCTATACTTTCCTAACTACTGTATCTTATCCTATGGTGACAATAATATTAACCTGGGGGCTTGGGGGGAGTGGGTGGTTACTGAAATCACTATTTTTACAAATCCTGTCGATAAAGCCCTTGGCATATGACAGGTACTTAAATAACTTTAATTATCACTTCTGGGATGCTTAACTCACATAAGTGTGGTAGTTCAGGTCCTTGCTTAAATAGATGCTTAACACATGTGGTGACAGCTTTTAAAAATGGAATTTAGAAGGTGAGGATGTGTGTAATCCTGACTCCACAACTCACTGAGTTGTAGGATCTTGTGTAAAGTAAGTTACCCATTCTAATCAAATTTCCATTTTTTTGCAAAAGCAGATATATAATATTTATTCAATCATTAGGAAGGGCTAAAAGAGACCATCTATGTGCAAATGTTAGTAAATGGCAAGCCCTACAGATATCCAGTTACTTAGAGTGGTCTTCTTATTTCAGGATAGATTAATTGAACATAAATAAATTAAAGGTGTAGACCAGAGAAACAGACTTTTAATGTTTCTGTGGTGGCAAGAACAACAATCACACCATCTCCTATCTTACTTCCACACCCCATCCTCCCAACAAACTCTGACTACTTATTCTGTATCTGCTTGGATATGCATCTTGGCACCTTAATGGGAAGTTTGTAGTAAATCTGCTGCATTTCTGAAATAGACAAGCCTCCCTGGTTCCCCAAGCAGATCTTACTTTGTCCTCCTCTAGCCTCTGCCTTCGCTTCTCCTCCACAGCAGCTCTTCTCCGCTCCTCCTTCAGCCTCTGCTCCTCCAACTTCTTCTTCCGCTCCTCCAGGTGCTTTTCATAGTGCTGCCGGGCTCGCTCTTCTCTTTCCAGCCAGACTATTTCTCTTGCAGCTTCAGGAAGAAATATGAGGGGCAAACATGAGCAGGTTTAAAACTTGAACCATCAGGGTTATACAAATGTGGGTTCTTAAGGTTTTTATTTTTTAAAGATTTATTTATTTATGCATACAAGAACTGGGGTACAAGCCAGAGATGCAGGAGGTGAAAGGATTCACTACAGACAGAGTGGGGAACAGAACAGGGAGATTGACCAAAGTACACTGCTGAGGGGAGCAGCGGGGGAGTCGGGAGAGGTCTGCTGCGCCACGTGGGTTGCTCCCTGGCTGGCCAGGGATCGAACTTGTGCTGCAGAGGCTGCAAGATTGCTTCATAGTGCGGTGCTTAATCCCTTGCACTACCAGGGAGGCCCGGGTTCTTAAGTTTTGAATGAGCCAATCTTGGCCTCTGTTTTCCTCAAATTTTCAAGGGAAAAAAAATGGCACTGTTAACTTTGAGCATAATTTAATATGCTAGCAGTAAGGTGAAGAAGATGTGCTGAATTTTACTGTCTGGAAAGGTTTAGACACTACACCAATAATCATTAGCTTTGCCCCAAATAATCTCTGAAGGAAGACATATTTCTTTATCCATCAAACTATTAACGAGTTCCACTTCTATTACCTATCAGTTAGTGGCGGTCCTATTGCAGTGCCTTCTTTAAACAACTATCTTCCTTAAACAGTCATAGAATCAGCAAACAATGGTGAAATAGTAAACAAAATTTTCACATTGCAGACTGTGTTCATGAGTGTTGGATTATTACCAAGTTCAGATCACACATGCAGTTTTCATTCATTCATTCATTCATTCATTCATTCATTCATTCATATTCTAACACTGTTGTTAATTTTTGGACAGTATTTGATTTCTCCCCTCAGGTATAGTCTCCGTAGTTCTCCCACTCACCATAGCACCCATGACCCATCACCATAGTCCCTGTGTTCTTCCCTCCCCTATTTTGACCCCTTTCTCTCTCCCTCTCCACTGTATTACTCAGATTTATACTCAGCTTGTCAATAGCTTTTCAAATTGAAGAAAGACATACAATATTTCAATAAGAATTGAAAGTTAATTTACTCTATGAGGTTTAGTTATTTTAAATATTCCCTATGGAGGGGAGATAATATCAAAGTCTATATAGTTTTATTAAGAAAAGAGACTTTTGAACAAAAGGGAGAAAAATAAATGGACAGACTGATGCCCTTCTCCCCCAACCTCTTCCCTGCCCAACTCCCCAAATTCACATGTTAAAACCTTAATGCTCAGTGTGACTATGCTGGAGCTAGATCTTTAGGAAGTAGTCACAGTTAAATGAGGTTATAACAGGGGGTCCCTAACCAAGCAGGATTAGTAACCTTATATGAAGAAGCATCAGAGGGCTCATTTTCTCTCAATGTTCACAGGAAAGACCATGTGAGTGAAAATAGCCAACTGTGAGCCAGAAAGAGCCATTTCACCAGAACGCAAACCCTGCTGGCACCTTGATCCTGGACTTTCCAGCCTCCAGAACCATGAGAAAATAAGTTTCTGTTGTTTCAGGCACCCAGTCAATGGTATCTTGTTAGGACAACCTGAGCAGACTAACACAGTTCATCAGTATCAAAATAATTAAAAATAACTAATTTCATAGAGGCAGCTCTATAAAAAAATAGGGTGTTCCCAAAAAAGATTTAGGATGATCATTATTAACCTTTACTCTTGTGAGGTTATCATTTTCCCCTCGATTCTGGGGTCACAATGTAAAATGAAATGTAAAACCATCATAGCCCCTGAATTACTGGACATTAACAGGCCAGTCATCACTGAGCTGCTGCTACCAGGATTATCTTTCGTGTGTGTGTGTCAGTGCCACTTTGGACTCTCCATGTAGAAACACCCAGTTATTCTTGTACTAAAAAGAATTTAAATGAAAGGAATTATAGAGGACAGAGCACAGACCCTGGCTCTTTAGGAACCCGAGGTCACTCTCAGCCCTGCCATCTACCAGCTATATGCCATTGGGTAAGTAGTATCTCCTCAAATTGTACAGCATCGTCTTCCTGACAGGGTTGCTCGGTAGGCTCATGAGAAATAGGACACAGCACAGTGTCATGCACACAGTTTGGACTCAGTTAACATAGGTAATCATAGTGAGTGAATCTTCATGGTTATCACACATAATCTGTGTCCTATTGTCATGGAAAAATACAGCTAAAAGGAAGAACAACACAGGAAGGACAGAGAGCTCAGATAGTGTACTCGTGGGCTGGACTCCATGCTCCAGTGGTGTTCAACAATCTAGCACGGTCCTCTGAGCAGGGTAACATCTGTTTGGGTGGAGTATACATTTCACTGCTATGGCGAAAACAATATGACACAGAGAATCGAGCAATGTTATCACAACCTCTGAAACATACACAGCTGTTGTCTCAGTTTCATGTTAAGATACAGAAGCATATAAATAGGCTACTGGTAGCCCTGTCTACCAGAATAGCCAGTAACGTGATGAAGAGTCAGAAAATCCCATGCAATAACATCTGAGTTCAGGTCTTGATTCTGTCACTTATTCTTGATCTTTGAAAAATAAGACAATATCTCTGGCTTCTAAATTAGAAAATATATACAAAAAGATCCCTAAGATTTTTTCCAATTAACTCCCATGAGTCAGTTTTTTGTTTTTACCTTTATGCAGTATATAATTAGGTTTCTTTTTGTTTTGATTTTGAAGGCTAACATTTTAATCTTAATGTTTTATCTCAATATTCATTATGATTTCATACATTCAAGTCAATTTAATTTTCATATTACCATAAAAACTGACTACATGTGGTAAATAATATTTCTAAAGAAAGAAATACAATGACTTTATTTAGTTTATCAACTCTACGAAAGTGGTAGTGGAATGGAAAAATAAGAGCATCTAAAGCAGGACAAGTAAAAATATATTATCAGTGTTAACTTAGAGCTGCTGTGTAGGAACTACAAATGAATGTCATTTAATAGTCAAGAAATGGGAACGAGGGCCTCCCCGGTGGCGCAACGGTTGAGCGCTGGGTTGCGAAGCTGCCCGCAGCCTCTGCGACGCCGGTTCGATCCCCGGCTGCTCCCCGGCCACCGGAGGAGGGTCCCACATGGCGCACAGACCTCTCCTGCTGCCCGCTGCTCCCCTCAGCAGTGTACTTCGGTCCTTCTGCCTGCTCTGCTCCCCGCTCTGGTGAATTCTCTCACCCTCCCGCGCCTCTGACTGTACCCAGTGCTTGTATAAATAAATAAAATAAAAATAAATCTTTAAAAAAAAAAAAAAAAAGAAAGAAATGGGAACGAAAAGGTAACCAGCAATATAACGGAACACTGCAGCACAACTTCCAAATTAATAAGGGAAATCATGGGATGAACAGTGTTTGAATCAAATCAACCACTGCATCTCTCCACAACCAAAAAAGTTACAAAATAAACTGAAAGGACTAAAATCAAGTCTACTAGTTCAGATTAGGTCTTTTAAACCAGGTCCCCTAAATAAAAACATCCAATTATATTGTTTTAAAGAAACAACCCTAAAATAAAGTGTCAAACAAAGCTTTAAAAATAAAGAAGGGGCACAGAGCTGCCAGGCAAATGAAAACAAGAATGTAATAAATATACGGCTCTTCCTACCAGACAAAACGGGACTGGAGAACCAAGGAAAAAAACTCACAAGGGAGTTTAAATAGTTTTCCCAGGATCACAGGGTCTAAATGAAGTAGGTTACAATTTTAATTTTAAAACCTATAATCTCAGCGACTGTACAGTTTTTCTCTGTATTCACATCCGCCTGCCTACAATTCTCACTTGAATTTTCCAGTCATGCCCATCATATAAACTTACTCATTATCTGCACATTCATCCCTACCCCAAACTGAATGAGACGGCTCTACCTTCTGTGTTCTGATACCAGCTTCACGACCTCCAAATGTCTGTGAAGTCAGGCTCCTGAGGGGTCCCCTCAATTTCTCCCTCATGGATGATCTAATGTAAGTCAGCACCTCTAAGCAATGGACCCTGTCACTTTACAACAGAACCATCCCCCAAATCCAGTGCCTTCACTCTAATCTTTGTTACTACTTTAAGCTGTCATTTCTTTTCTACGTCTCCTGATGTCTATTTATCTCCTTTGTCAGATCCATCTTGCATACTCTTCTCAGGGACATCATCTCCCAAAACCAAATCCAATTCACAGACCCGCCTGAAAACCTGTTATTTCACCACCGTTACCTTTTCCAAATCCTGATCTTCAAGGCCAGGTTTAAAGAAGTATTCAGCCTTTGCTAAAGTAAACAGTTTTGCTAAAGCACACAAAACAACTATTATTTTTGTTGCTTTCATTTTTGTTGCTTTCTCAACCCTAATCTACTTTCATTCCTCAGAGAATGAAGCCGTAGCTTATCTGGCAGTCTTATGGAGCCCCGAGCACTGCTGGATTGGGGGGCACAAACATTTCTCTCTCTGCCCCCTTTGTCTCAGAAACTGAGATTGGCCTCTCCAATCTCAGGCAACCAAGTCAGTATCTGGAACCATATGACTTCCATCCTCATCTTTATCACCACATCACGATGGTAAGATGTACTTTGTGTTGACATCAAGTGATTTACAGGTATTATCTTCACAGTCATTCTATGAAGCAGACACTGCTATTAAACTCATTTTTATTATGAGAAGTCTGAGACACAGAGAAGTGAAGTAACCTGCTTGATGTCTCACAATTAAGTTAGTGGTGGAACTGGAATTTAAATTCTGGACTATCTGACTCTAGAAGCAAACAAGGAGCCATGATGTCAAAGTTATGATTTAGAACACCTCCCAGAGCACCTTCTCTTTACCAGGACAGGTGGTCATCTGGTGTGAGGATCCTCGTGTTCTAATGTCACTCAGCCTTTATCATCATTTCTTTAAAAGACCCTTTGCTTTTTGGGTTTTAAGATCGTTTTCTCTTTAGTCTTAAAGACAAAGTAAATTGGGGAGAAACAAATAATGGCTGCTTAGTCACAATGATTCATGTCATGTTTAAGCTTCAGCCCTTGAGTTACCTAATCCATCAGCAACAAACATTTATTCTTTGCAGTCCTGAGCCTGACTCATGATATAGCTGCTTTGGTATGCACTAATGTCCATATTCCACCCACCAACGTGTAATTAGAAATTCAGATCCCTCAGCTGTTCGTAACTTGCCCAGCAGCCGGAGGGGTTTTGTATACTATATTCATCAAGTGACAGCCTCAGGAGGCCAGATGCCAAGACAGACCAAAGACCTGACCAAGCGTTATCCGGGAGAAATTTGGATTAGAAATCACAATGCCATTACGGATGGTCTTTGAGGACAGTATTATGAGTGAAGTAAGTGAGACAAAGACAGGCAAATACTGTTTGATTGCACTTATATATATGGACTCTGAAAAAACAAAACCAAACAAACCAAGCTTATAGATACAGACAGGAGATTGGTGGTTGCCAGAGGGAGGGAACGGGTATAGGGGAGACAAAATTTATAAACCTCCAGTTATAAAGTAAATAAATCATGGGGATGTAATGGATAGTGGTGACTATAGTTAATAATGCTGCACTGCATATTTGGAAATTTGCTAGGCAAGTAAATCTTAAAAGTCTTCATCACAAAAAACAAGTTTTGTAACTATGTATGATGACAGATGGCAACTAGATTTATTGTGGTGATCATTTCAGTGTTAAGAAATATCAAATCAACAAGTTATACACCTAAACTAACATGATATATGTCTATTACACCTCAATGGAAAATATTTACCTGATTGCATGAATTCTATATGTTATGATACTGATAATGGTTTCTGAGGAAAAATTAGTAGCCAGAATCTCTTTTAAGATCCTCTGGACAAACTTACCCTCAATAGACCCAAATGCTAAATGAGCAATGTGACAACATTTTCTTCAAAAAGATGTTGGAATGTGCTCTAACATTTATATTTTGCTCTCTTATTTTGTGTCAAATAGAGTGAACACAGCACCCATGCATCTCCCTTGCAGGAAGAAGCAGAACAGCCCTTTCTCTATGAGTCTGGGATGCATGCCCAGCTCTAAAATTTCAGAAACCACCACCACTATCTAACGATCACTCTCTACCAAATAGCATTACCACTTGTTGAGGAATTTTAACATGGACCTTGGTGATCCTGCACATATTCAACACATACTTATTACAGCTGATGTGGCAGAAGAAAAAAGGGCCTATCAACCAACTACTTCATCTTTCTAGATTCTCTCAGTTCCTTACTTAAGCTAAATTGTCACACTGAATTTTAAAAGTAAGTGGCACTTGGTTAAATAACTTATATTTATGTAACTGTAACTTACATTATTATAGTTATGACAGACCCACACAATAAAAGTTACAGCCATTGTGTTAATATGCTACTAACCGTGATAACAAAGACTGAAGTGTTTAGAACAATGGTGGCCTAAAGTTAGTGTTCAATAAACATTATCATTATGTTCTTATTTTACATTACATTAAGAATATAATGTAAGCAGCAGAGCAAAAATTATCTGCAAATATTTGTTACATATTCTGTCATGTATTGGGATACAAGAAATTAAAGAAACACCTCATATCCTTTAAAAGCTTAAAATACATAAACTCAGTTATATAACTCTACTAAAAAAAGTTCAGCAGAGTCTAACATAGCACTATAGTGAGCCAATATATGAGTTATGTAAGATATAACAGTGAAATAATGTTAGAATTTCCAAAAGAGGAAAGATTATGACTAGGGAGCTTTCAAAAACAAGGAATGACACCAATTGTGGCAGAACAAGAGGGATGAAGTATATCTATGAGATAGTTTTACTAAGGTCTGGTCTAAGATAATAGCACAAGAAGCAAATCTAAAGGTATGGGTATGAGATTTATTTTGAAGATAGAGTCAGCTAGATTTGTGACTTAATACTTAAGGGATAGCGAGAGTATGACATCTTTTACTTATATATAGAGCTGGAGAGAGTTAAAGACCCATCTTGAGGACTAGGCTGAGACCACACTGACCACTGGTAATTACAAGTGGCCCAATAGGTCAGGGTGGAGATTAGCCAATACACAACTTTGAGCCACCAAGGAAGAAAAAATTATTTTACAAAAGAGCAATAGTTGAGACTGGCTGTCAAAAAGATAGTAGTTTCTCTAGCAGCAAAAATATAAAAAATGGCTGAAGAAGTAATTTCCAGGGAGAGAAAATATTGGTGGAATTGGTTGGGACACAGAACGACAGCTGATGAGTAATTTAATTGCAGAGAAGTTACATTTTGATAATAGGGAGGCAATACTATTGCATGCTAAGTAGCTAGAAAAGTAGTACCCATGTCATCAAAAAGGAGGAGGAAGCCCTAAGAAAAAGGCTTCTAGGGGCCTCCCCAGTAGTGCAGCGGTTGAGCGCTGGGTTGCAAAAGCTGCCCTCAGCCTCTGCAGCACCGTTTCGATCCCCAGCCCCCGGGTGAGGATCCCACATGGTGCTGCAGACCTCTCCTGCCGCCCGCTGCCTCCCCTCAGCAGTGTACTTAGTCAGTCTGCCTGTTCTGTTCTCCGCTCTGGCTCTGGTGAATTCTCTCACCCTCCCGCGCTTCTGATTGTACCCAGTGCTTGTATAAATAAATAATCTTAAAAAAAAAAAAAAGGAAAAAAAGAAAAAGGCTTCTAGGAAAATATAAAATTAATGCTTAAAAGAGTGAAAAAATACAAAAGTCAAGAAGAGGGGAGTTTGAAGAAATGGCCTAAATAGAATCAGATGATATAAGAGTGGTTGAAGAGATTCTGTCATGAATAAAACCTTTAATGTAGAAAAAAAAGGCTTCTGGAGTACATATCTTTAACGAAATGGAAGAAACAGTTCCATGCATGAAAAATTATGCCTGATTTCAGTTGATAAATTGAAGGATAATGTTGAAAGAGCAGGTCACTGCTGGGGACCAGCCTCACAGGGCAAAATTCTACCATAAACGCATTAAAACATGACTTACGAGATTGAACCTACATTTAAGAGAAGATGTAGCCACTCAACATACACAGCCAACTTGCAGGGAGCATTCGCAGGCTCAAAGTCACGTTTTACTATTTTGCAGTATAAGAAGTGAAATCATTTTTGTTTGAGCAGTATATTCGTACTCCCCCCCCAAACCCATCTAATACTTGATTTTGAAAGATAAAGAAATCCAAATGAAAGGCAGTATATACAAACTAAGTCACAATGGGATTTAAATCTTAAAGGAGTAGTCTCCTGATGTTATGGAGCTACTGCTACTCAAGCAAGTCTAATGAAACATTCAATAGTATAAGACCTGACCCAGCTGGGGTAGGCTGGCGAGGGGAGGCACTACGCCTTGGCTGGATCCAAAGCTAAAGTGCCAGTGCCAGCCATCCCACTGCAGTGGCCGGACCCTTCTTTTTGGTCTCTTCCTGCTTCTGTAACTCTGCCTTTTCCCACTTTTTCAGTCTTCTCCGCTTGTCGAATCAACCTTGACTAGGGAGCAATGGGCACAGTTCACAAGGAACTCCAGAGAGCTCCAAAGAAGAGTGGTAGCCTTGCCAGTCACAGACAGGCTGCCTCCAGGAACAGACCAGCCTGAGGGAAACTTGTCTGGCACAGGGAACTTTAAGCCTGGGCACAGACCAACAGCAGAGCTTCCTCACTTCCAGCAAGTTGTTGAAACCTGGGGTGAAAAAAACCTTGGCAGCAAAAGAAATGACCTCATATGACCATTATGACCAAGAGGACTATGCTGAAAGAATGTACTAATGTCACCAACATTTGAAAATCAGCTTCTAGTGAATTGCACACATTTGAGTTCTTGAATAACAATAGTTAGAGATGGGATAGGAGGGTCATCTTCCTTTATGGAAACATTAACTCTTAATGAGATGCAGTTGAAATTGAGAAAGTTATGCATTATCCCCTGGAAAGATTTTGGCAACCTATATAATCCCCAGGTTGAAAATACCTAGATAGCCGAGAAACACACATATACTGAGCAAGGCATTTCATCTTTCAAAGGCACATAAAGAGAGCATCCTGTTTTAGCAACTTTGCATAAATGGACACCTGAGTAAAAGAGGAGTTGGCACCAGCACCCTTACTCAATGTTCCAGGAGACAGTGAATGACAGCTGAGTGCTGAGCTTGGCTTCCTTGTAAACCAGTCCTGTGACCCAGCTCTCTAAGAGGTTATATGGCAAATATTAGAGTTGTCAACCTTTCACAAGGCTTTAGGTAAAAAGAAAACCCAGACAGCTCAGTCTAGGTCATGTGCTTTTCCTAGCAGCATGCTGGTAGCATCTGCCTATAAATCCAACAGCAGCATTATTTTAACGTGGGACGCAGAAGTGTCCTAGTCATCTATCGTCCTGTAACTGTTCACATAATAAAGGGCCATGTTTACTATCCTTTTATCTTTTAAGTTGTAAAATGTAAGCCTAGCCATAATGCCACTCATATATGCATTCCCTCCGGTGACAGATGAAACTATGGTTACAATATAAGAAGTAAAAATGGTTCTGAGTTGGACTTTATTGTTCTTAAAATTTAGAGCTATGTTTATAACACATGAAATTTTGCTTCACAACCCATCTGCAAAACTTGTAAAGGCAGACAAGAGAGCATAGTTATCCCAGTGACACCCATTCGTTCAATGTTAAGTGTCTGCTATCCTAGAATATCAATTCAACAAGAGAGGCTGTGAGGTCAACGAGAGCTGGCGTACCTAGCTGCTTGTCCCGCTCCTCTCGACGCTCCCGGGCCAGTCGCTGCCGGTCATCAACCCGAAGCACAGGTGGAGGGTCTGACAATGAGACAGAAAAACATAACAGCATATTTTTAAAATAATGGCACACATTAATAAACATCTTTTTTGTCTGGTAAATTTGATGAAGAAAATATTGTCTTGTCTTACAATTATTACATAGGACCATAGTTTCAGTGATGCGCTTACTTGTCATAAGAATTGGTGGCACAAGGGGTTAAGTCGCAGCACTATGAAGCTATCTGCAGCCACTGCAACAAGAGTTCCAGCCCCAGCCAGGGAGTTACCCACATGGCGTGGCAGACTTCTCCTGCCTTGCCTGCTGCTCCCCTCAGCAGTGTATTTCAGTCAGTCTGCCTTTTCCATTTCCTGCTCTGTCTCTGGTGAATCCGCTCATCCCCTGCACCTCTGGTCTGTACCCCAGTTCTTGTATGCATAAATCTTTCTTTTTTAAAAAAGAATTTCCAGGGGCCTCCCTGGTGGTACAGCAGTTGAGCACTGTGTTGCGAAGCTGCCCGCAGCCTCTGCACAGCTGGTTCGATCCCTGGTCATTGGGCGAGGGTCCCACATGGCGCGCAGACCTCTCCTGCTGCCTGCTGCTCCCCTCAGCAGTGTACTTCATCAGTCTGCCTTCTCTGCTCTCCCCTCTGGCTCTGGTGAATTCTCTCACCCTCCAGCACTTCTAACCTTACCCAGTGCTTGTATAAATAAATAAAAATAAAATCTTTAAAAAGAATTTCCAAACATTTTTCTTTTACCTAAAAACATTATGTTGGTGGGTACATATATCTGAAGAGGTGTGAACCTATACTCCTAAATATGGATGTGCTGGAAACCACTGTTAACCACCCCCCCTTTTTTTTTTAAATTGTGCCAAAAACAAAATTGTAGCCCTTGGGAGACTTTCAATCAAACAAATGTAAATGATCCTTGGTATTACTAAGTTACTGCACTGCTAGCATTTTCATGCTTTAAAAAGTATGTTCCTTAAAAACAAACAATCCTACATGAATGTATGCTGAATAAGCATTTCGGTTAGATGTGAAGTCCCTGGCTCTGGAGTTTGACAGGGAAGAGCTTTGTTTCTGTTCTGTCAAGTTATTTATCCATCTCACAAAATCTTCAGCTATGACATGGACTTGTGAGGTTTCATTATAAAATGAGGAACTTCTCTCACATCACTGTGAGAACTAAATAAATGATGCTTCTAACAGTGTTAGTCTAGGGCCAAGCACATAATTCCCAGGTAAGTTAATTCATTCACTTAACATGTATTAAACACCTACCACACACCCAGTACTGTTCTGTGTGCTGGAAAGGAAGCAGTCAAGAAAAAAGACAAAATCTCTGTCCTCTTGCATTCTACTCAGAAGAAATGTAAGGATAAATAAGCAAAATATATAAAATAAAAAAAGGGGAAAATATATAAAATGTTAGCCTGAGATAATACCAAAGGCATGACACAAAAAAACGGGGATTATGAAATGGCAGGAGTGTTTCACACTTTAGATAGGGGCCCTGGGGTGATGGGGATGGGGGATAGAGTGGGGAACTATGGTGATAACTTTTATGTGTGAAAACCTGATGCAAGTGAGGGAGGCAGCTGTGCAGATATTCTAGGAGTTGGAAAGCAAGTGCAAAGGCCCTGAGGTTGTAAATACCAAATGTGTTCAAGAAACAATAGGAATGAAGTAAGAAGAGTAAGTGATGATTAGTGATCAGGGGGCAAAGGAGTGGGGAAGGGCTCATTGCTCATGGTGAAAATTTTGCATCATATACCGGTGAGATGATACTGGGGTTTCCTGTAGAGGGCCACACTACTAGACTCGCTTTCTTTATAAAAAGCAAAATAATAATAATGAAGATGACAGTAACTATACTTAAAATCTGATTTATATTTATCTCTGCTTAACTGATAAAAATGAAAAATGATAAATAATAAGGTAGAATGAAATTTCAGCGACTCTTAAAGACTTGTAGGAGATAGTATATGGATAGGGATTTAGAGGGATTTAAAACAAATTTGAGTTTTACTTTTCTTAGGTACATATAGTTCATAGAGAAATGAAATTTCTGTCTTTTAATTAGGTCAAACTCTTGTCACCTGGAGGCAGCTAATGGCATTCTAAAGAACCGTTTCCCATTCCTCAGGAAACAGCAGGCATGGGCAGCTCTATCACTTCTGTTCTGGGCCCAAGGGCTCAGAGCTGAGCATGTCATTAGTCCTTCCTGGGATACCTGAGCATAGTGTGTTTGTACTCATGAAACACCACAGGGCTCCCCCACAATCACGTGCGTGACAGTAAAATATTAACAATCTGAAAGTGGATAGATGTTTTCTAAATCAAAGATATTCTAGAGACTTCTAATGAATTTCAGTAGCAGAAGGTAAAGGAGGGGGAAAAATCCAAGTAAAGTTTACTGGGTTTACTAGGTTAAAGGGTACACGGAGAAATCACTTGGTCACAATGTCCATGTCTGTTTGGAGCAAAACTCAAAATATTTTCCAAGCTAGCATGTGCTTTTTTGTTTTAAATCTTAGAGAAATAAAATCAACAAACTACTCTAGATAGATAGTCCTATGACTCACATTCCATAAAACCATAAGGTTTTACTCAAATCTAGTCCTCCAACATTTTTATGTCACCCTTCAGAGATATACAGGAAAATAACACACTGATTTTTAAAATAAAAACCTTTTGTGTACCTTTGCTTACCTGTAAATGTAAGAAGACACAAGGATACTTGAACACAATTTGAAATGAAATGTCTCATTTAACTTGATTTTAACAACAGAAATTAAATGGCATGCAAAGAGATGGTCAACGGGGTGGAGATTTTCTGGCTTCTGCTCTCTATAATGTTTTATACAGATCTCTGCTGTCATGCTGGGAATTCTGTATTAGAATTATCTGCTCATATTTTGGTTTACTCCACCACATTGTCAAGTAGAAAGCAGGGATTATATCTGCTAATAATATATCCCTAGTAGCCACACAGTGCGAACACAAGGTGAATAAATGAGTTATCAGGATCTGAAAGTAGAAATTAGCAGTGATGCCTGATGGGAGAACCAGAAAAAAAAAAAGTACACATCAGTTAGCTGCTTAGTTTTCATGGTTATACAATAGCTTTTAGGCAAGAGAATGTCTATTTCCACAAGGATGCTTACTTGAGTATGAAGAACAAAAGTCCATGAGAATAAGCTCTGTGAACACAGGGTCCTATTGTTTTGCTCACAGGCAGCAGAACAACTACTCAATAAATATTACATGGTAGGTGTATAGGGCAATGGATAAATTAATGAATGAAAAGGCACACTGATTAAATAGGAAAAATCTCAGCCTGCTAATTAAAACTCCACTGAAACCACATCACTTGCTACTAATGGCTGCTTCCGAAATACTTGCAGTAGTACTTGTTATTCTTCTAAATGACAAGCCATATTCATCTGCTCTGTTCAAGACCCTTTGCACATTAGAAAAAAAAATCACTGACACTAATGGGGAATGTTTTCTGAGATATAGTTATTTCCATCTCCAATCTCACAGATTCACTGTTCTTGAATGATTTCAGCTTTGGATGGTACACAGGTCAGCTTCCAAGTAACTCACGGGGTGTTCAATTTGCCTTGATTGTCTTTTATCATCATACTGTACATTAGTCTCTCGCAAGGACCATGCAACAGTTTCTGTATACTGGAAGCAAGTGCGTTGTCTATTCAATTATTTGTATCACTGAGAAGAACACACTGTGAATCATAGGCTAGTATGCGAAATTGCTGTGTAGGTGTACAATCATTGCAGAGAATAGAGATCAAAAACTTAATTCTATACCAGCATTGCTATGTGTAAAGATTTTCTTAAATGGTTTTTGAAAAAGTCACAAAAGATGTACACAATAATGGCCGGGCATCCATCCAGGTAGGTAAATTGTGTTGTATCCACCATTTCAAACAGAAAAGCAAAATTATTACCTCTTACACACTGTTTGACAGTAAACAAATCATCCACATACACCATCTAAAGCAATCTCACAATTACTTTGAGAGGTAAGCAAGGCATGTGTTTGAATGTCCAGTTTAAAAAGAGAAAAATCAAGTATTTGAGAGGTTCTCTTGACTTAAACTTATTTAAGTCTGTGTGATGAGCACGTGCTTTGGTGGCGGGTGTGGAGCCAAGCTCTCCTAACTCTACCATGACTTTGAGGCTTTGAGATAACCTCTTGTTCTCTGACAGCTAAAGCAATGCACCTTACCTGGTTTATTTCCTGAGACGTTGCTGTTTTGTCCTGACACTGCAGGGTTGGGCCGGTTGGAGGCAGTTTTCTTCTCGTGCACTTTGTAGTTGTCAGGTGCTACACAAATGAGATAAATGATAGAAGACATTTACTTTCCTAAAATTTATTTACTATTCCAATGTTTATATAATCGTTGAATCAGGTATTGTACTACGTCAAATAAAAAAGATGACGTAGTTTTTTTAATCTTGCCCTTAAGAAGCATACTGTTGAGGGAGGAAGTCACATCCAAAAATCAACAGTTCAGCTGAAGTGACCAGTTCTATAGCGGTGGCATGTCCTGGACTCCATGAACTGGTAGGAGTGGGCTGTCCCAGTTCACTCATAAAGCAACAATGTGGTGGGCCTCCCCGGTGGTACAGGCAGTTGAGTGCAGTGCTGTGAAACTGTCCGCAGCCTCTGCGGTGCAGGTTCGATCCTGACTAGCCAGGGAGATACCCACATGGTGCAGCAGACCTCTCCTGTCTCACCTGCTGCTCCCCTCAGCAGTGTATTTCAGTTAGTCTGCCTGTTCTGTTCCCTGCTCTGTCTCTGGTGAATTCTCTCACCCTCCCATGCCTCTGGCCTGTACCCCAGTTCTTGTGTAAATAAATAAAATCTTAAAATAAAAAAGCAACAATGTGGAAGCATGATTGGGACTTAAAACCAATCTTACTTCTTACAAAGTTCATGCCTTAGGAATGGAAAAACTCTAAGAACATAACTATATAGGTCATCAAAAAGGGACCATAAAGAGTTACAAAAGGAATGTAACTTGAAATATAACTTTGAAATGTAACTTTGAAAAAGACTCCAACAAAAGCCCAAGAACAAAATTTATTTATTTTAAAGATTTGTTTTACTTATTTATGCATATAAGAACTGGGATATAGGCCAGAGGTAGGGGGGTGGTGGTGAGAAAATTCACCAGAGACAGAGTGGGGAGTAGAACAGGTGGGCAGATCTTCTAAATACACTGCTAAGGGGAGCAGCAGGTGAGACAGGAGAGATCTGTTGCTCCATGTGGGTTAGCTCCCTGGCCAGGGATTGAATTCATGTTGCGGTGGCTGGCGACAGCTTGATAGCACTGAGACCTTAACCCCTGCGCCACGTGGGAGGCACAACAACAAAATTTATTAATGAGACTAAGAGAAATGTGTTCTAGGAAAGACATGAAGGGCAGAAATAGCAGGCAATTCTCTGGTTATATATGAGAGGGGTCATCTAGGACCATGTAAATTTTTCACAATGTGTACTAATTTAATGTATTTTCAAAGGATAGATATACGTTGCTGTTTAAGATAGAAATTGTGTCAAAAACCAAGCCAGGAATTTCCCTGCCTTAAAACCTGATTGGTAAGTAGACCTCCCCATCCATTCAGGCAATTCTATGCCCAAATCCTGGGGTCATCCTGCACATATCTCCTTCACTCAATACATCCTCTTGACATTCTCTATGTTCAATACATTAGTAAATTTTCTGAATTCTACCTTAGAAAAACATCTTACCACTTCTACCTATACCTTACTGAGCATTTCTTCTCTGTGTGACTGCAATTTCTTCTTAGTTTACCTGATCCTATCACTGATCCATCAGTCTATTTTCTTTTTTTTTTTTAATTTAAAATTTTTTAAGATTTATTTATTTGTTTATTATTTATACAAGCACTGGGTACAGTCAGAAGTGCGGGAGGGTGACAGAACTCACTGGAGCCAGAGTGGGGAACAGAACAGGCAGAAGGACCGAAGTACACTGCTGAGGGGAGCAGTGGGCGAGGCAGGAGAGGTCTGTCGCGCCATGTGGGATGCTCGCCGGCGCTCAACCACTGCACCACCAGGGGAGGCCCCAGTCTATTTTCTTATCAGCAGCCAGAGTGATGGCATTAATACATAAATCCTGTCATTTCTCTTTTCAAAACTGTCTAATACCGTCTATCTCATTCAGAGTAAAATTCCTGGTCTGTTGTCATCAAGAAGGTACTCATTACCTAGTACCACTTTCCTCCTTAATCACTCTGTGCTAATCAAACTGCCTTCCTTGGTTCATCTCAGTCTTTACGTGCCTGAAATGTTCTCCCAGTATCAACACGGCAGAGACCCTTCACTTTCTTTGGGTCTCTGCTCAAATATGATATTAGGGAATTTCCTTTGCCTTTTTATTTTATTATTTTATTTTTTATTAATATTTTATCCTTTGCTTTTTTATAACAGCATCCCCATCACTCATCACTCCCCATGCCTTCTTATCCTGCTTTGTTTATATCCTTTACCTACTGAAATAGCACATATTTATTATCTTTTCTATTAGGCTGAGAGAATTGGATATTATCTAGAAAAATAGAAGGATTTATTCAAAGTTTTTGAACTTGAAATAATAATTTTTGATAATAATTAGGCTTTAGGTAGACTAAAAATGGTAATCCAAGTGTCCCCAAAAAAAATACTAGTAAGTTTACCTTTGACCTCTGGATGGGATACAATTATATAAAAATATTAACTAGCATGGAAAATCACAGAGCAAATAGTAGAAAGTATCTTATGCAACTGCTTTACTACTGCCCAATTTCAACCATCTGTTTGCTTTAAATAACAGCTTCAAACACAAGCCTTGATTGGTTTGACTTTTGTCTACTTGAGCTTTCTTTTCCCTATTTTTAGGGAAAGGTTTGTAAAGATACAATAGAGGCCATAGGGCCTCCCTGGTGGCGCAGGCGGTTGAGCGCCGCACTGTGAAGCTGTCCACAGCCTCTGCAGCGCGGGTTTGGCCGGCCGGCGAGAATCCCACATGGTGCGGCAGATCTTGCCTGTCTCGCCTGCTGCTCCCCTCAGCAGCGTATTTCCTCAGTCTTCCTGTTCTGTTACCCGCTCTGTCTCTGGTGAATCCTCTCACCCTCCCGCACATCTGGCCTGTGTCCCGGTTCTTGTGTATGAAAAAATATATAGATACAATAGAGGACAGACCAAGTTAGGAAAAAAAAAAAAAAGGCAGCAAAAGGTCTCAAAGAAGGTTTCTGAAGGATGTTGCCACTTGTGGAGTAAATTTACTAGGCAATTCACCACTGGCAAAGGACTCTGCTAAAGGTGCGCATGCTGATGCTGGATGATGGGGACAAATTAAGGTGAGTCTGAGCAGATTCAGGACAGTTTCTGACATCGACCTGGGGGGAAATCAGAAGTGTGAGGGGCTCTGTAATGCCTAACACATCTCACGCCCCAGGTATCACCACGTAGCAGGTGAAGCCTGTATCAGTCAGTCCTGGACAATCACCTCACAACGTCAGAGGCAGCTCCTAGAAACGAAAACCTGACTCTGATTGGAAGCTTTGTTGCTCATCAGAAAGAATAACCCTTCCCCTTATTCTGCAAGTTAATCTTCTTAAAACCCTCTGAAAGGAGATAACAGTTAAGAAAGATCAACAGAGAGTGACACACAGATTCAAAGAAAGATCAACAGAGAGTGACACACAGATTCGGAGTAGTCTGATAATAATTTTATTGTATAGCCACCCCCAGCACAGAGAAAGTAAAACTATAGTTAGCAATGTGTTCAGGGAATTTATATATATATATAGTTAATGGAAAGATCATTGGAATCATCTGCTTGGAATATACTACAAATGTTTTCCTCTTTCTTGCCTTGCTATGTTTGACATAATTCAATCTTGCTCTGATGATTCAGCATCTGCAGTGTCCTGAGGGTTTTGTCCTAAGAACAAAAACGAAACTTAACTGAGTGGCAGGTAACAGCAGACCAGGAAGGAGAGGAACAAGTTCCCAGCGCAAGATCAGCACAGTGCCTTTTCTGTAGGATTCCTGACAAAAGCTTTTGGTGGGGTGGGGTGCTAAAATTTGCTTCTTCTCAAAACTCAAATGTGAAAATAAATTTCAATTAAACTGGTCAACTGGTTGCTTGAGTTCCAATTTATCTACAACTGATTTTTATTAGATACATCTAGCTCAACGGCTATCTGCTTACTGTATCAGTATCTGGATCACAGGAATTCACCTCTTTCCTGGACAGTTTTTAAATCTGCCACAGTAGCATGGGCTCCCACACTTAAAACACCAGTGTGTAGCTGTGTGTTTAGAGAGTGGGGAAGGGAGGCAGTGGTGAAGTCTTGACACATCACCTAACCTCTTAGTCCCCCCACAAAAAATTTGCTTTCAGAGTCGTGAAAATGAAATGAGACTGCAGGGTTCACCTCAAGGCTCAATAAATGGGAGAAAGTATTTTTTAGATCTCTCCCTATTACTGTATAAAGTGGAAAACTGGGTTTCTATTTCCTTAGAGCTTTGCTCCCGCAGCATCAGCAGGGAAAGCACGTCCATGTCACTTGGTGACACTGGTCCTGGGACCAAGGGGACAGGAAGGTCTTGCTCAGCTGCTGGTTTCAGAGGTTTTTCAGCTCACCTACAATCACACCTCATGGGTCTCAGTTGGGCTGAACTTACTGCGCTGGCTTGTAGGGTACAACCTGGTTTATAAAGAGGTTTCAACAGTCTTTCTTGGACTTGGAGAGACAATGGCTATCTTCACATTAAGTGAATATAAGCTTTAAAAAAAAACCTTTATCATATTAATGACAAATAACTTACGAGATTCTTTTATGGACAAAGTGTAGGGAATTTCAATGCTTAAGAACACAATGAGGGCCTCCCCGGTGGTGCAGCAGTTGAGCGCTGGGTTTCGAAGCTGCCCGCAGCCTTTGCAGTGCCGGTTCGATTCCCGGCTGCTCCCCGGCCTCCGGAGAAGGGTCCCACATGGCGCGCAGACCTCTCCTGCCGCCCGCTGCTCCCCTCAGCAGTGTACTTCGGTCCTTCTGCCTGCTCTGCTCCCCGCTCTGGCTCTGGTGAATTCTCTCACCCTCCCGCGCATCTGACTGTACCCAGTGCTTGTATAAACCAACCAACCAACCAAACAAACAAACAAACAAAAAAAAAAAAAGAACACAATGAAAATGGGAATTTATTCCTTTTATGATTTCTGCAATTTAAAATCTGAAAATTCTAACTAGCAAATAGTATGGCATTTACAATTTTTTAATTTACCATTAAAAATACCATTTTTAACAACTCAA